ACATCTTGCCGTGTTGGAAGCTTTGTACATAGGTAAGTTAGACCCTGAGCTCTGTGTTCAGAAGGAGAATGTGTTGTCTTTGCAGTTGTTTGGCACTGTTCGTCGTGAAGGTGCGAAATAGATCCCTTGATCTCTTGATATTTCTCTCTTTTTCTTGTCACTACGTTTTTTGTCACTTATTGGATTTGTATGCTGTTTTCTTGATTCTTCACATCTTTTTTTCGTGTCACTTCTACACATAATTGGAGTGATATATTTCTGAACTTCTTTTCCTTATAATTGTAGTCTTTTAGCTTATTTCCATCATTCCCTAGTATTTTGACAAGAAGGGAACGAAAACGTTCAATACTTTGACACATGTCCTAATTGGCTGGTGGTGACTCTTGCGTAGATGCATGCGTAGATAATACATTTTTTGTAATAATAATAATAATAATAATCCTCCCTACCCAATCTCCCTTTGGTGCGTCCATGGAGCTATGAAGCCGAGACCTCTGGTCGGCGGAGCTTAATTTTTGGCCCCCACCAACACACTCCATTATTCACCCCAGTGTCTGGAGATACATATACAATGTACGTGGATTTTGTAGAGAAAAAAGACTTACTAGGTGCTGTCTATCAACTGTCGAGCATGTCGTGTGCGTGCTGTTTGTGCACTCTGTGGTCATGGACTCATGGTGGTACTACTACTAGTAGTACTGGTACTAGCGTGGGTCGCGGCAGGCCGCCGGTGTTTGTTAGACCTTCATCTATCCGATCGACGGCCACATGCACAACACGTAAAGCGAAGTGGGCAGTATACTGCACCCTGCATGCAGAGTGCAGTCAAAAAAACATAAAAAGTCTTGTGTAGACCTACCACTGACTAAGCTCATCATGAGTAGTACCAGTCAACCTGCGCTTAGCTACTACTGAGCTAGTACACCAGGCCGGTACACTGTACTTGTTGTACTGACTGTAAAGTATGTATCTAATATTGACTGGGTACGAGGTCAATATAGGAAATAAAAGCTGAGTAAAAGACTGAGGCGAAGCCGAGGTCTTTTACGAGGTTTTTATTTCCTATACTGACCAAGTACAAAGTCAATATTAGATTTATCACGACAAACAGTCCGTATTTCAAATTCCAGAACGATAACCTCATGAATCCCGGTTTTATGATTGCACAACCGTTGCACCACCACCTACTCATGCAGTGACAATGCTGCACTAGGCACCGTTCAACTGCCCAACCCCTAAGCAGTCAAATAATAAGCAGTCAATATAGCCCTAAGGAGTGAAATATGCAGGAATATTTGACTGCTTTAATAGGTATAGCGAAAATCAATGGGAGTCAATACTAAGGGAATGATAAAATGTAACATTAGTTGTAGACAGTCTGTTCGTGGGCAAGTGTGCACATCTGGGCTGACCTCGCTGCAGAGTGCAGTCGGGCCCAGCAAATGAGAGGTTATTGTTGCCCTGTTGAGTGTGTGTGGGCTGTTCATGTACTTGCTAATGTGTGACCTACAATGAATAACTCATTTCCATTGTTGAATGGAGTGGGCATTGCCCGGCCTGTCCACGCCGCACTTGGCCATGCTTGACTGTAGCCTGGGTAGGTCATGCCTACGCCAGGCTATGTATGGTGTAGATCTGCATAGATCTACTGCCTACCGCTCTACTGCCGTACTGGCTTCAGCTCCAGCCGGTAATCCACGGATGTGCGCATCAACGCGAACGACTGCAGAGCGCATGCAGGCTGTTATGTGTATCACTAGAGGAAGGAACTCATTCAGCAAAGAACGAATTGCAGCGCTGTAGAGTCGCCTTTCTTCTTTTACTGTGCGTGTTGAGATTATTTGTTACAGGCCTGTGCTTAGCATTCTGTCGTTGTGTGCGCTTGAGAAGCAGAGATTTGCAGCTTTACTGCAGCGACGTGGACGATAAAATCCTACGCTCGTGAGTGCGCCCTGCTCCCTTTTCGCCGGACAGTGTTCTTTGTCTTGATAGCGCGATAACATGGCCCGATCGTTACTATTAGCCGTGATGCTGGTTGCCCTGGCCCTGTCGTGGAGCAGTAGGGCGAATGCCCAAGAAGGCCTGATAACCGGTAAGTTATTTCTTTTGTTTTGTCTCGCCAATGCGTGTAGGTCTCCGTGCCTGTTTAGTTTTGTGCTTTCGCTGATGGTCGAGAAACACGAAATAGTCGTTAGCGTGTTTCCTGCAACAGGAATTCTCGAGTACACGTCGTGTATTTTTAGACGTACTGCTGCTGTACTGAGTAGTCGTGCATCTCGTCGCTCGCACTTACTTGTAACGTTGTGTGACGTGATTGGGAAATGTGGTCGGCGTTGCGGGCAGGAACTGTCAGATTCCAGGCGCAAGATGTAAGTCCTGCTCAAGATCAGCTGATCTCGCGAGCACGGGGAATTTGAACAGGAGGCTTTGCTCGTCCGCGTTTCCAGACATCAAGCGAGAACTACATGACGACCTTGTCTAATGAGAAGGCAGTACACTGTGTCCTGCCTGTTTATCGGGTGAAGTAAAAACTAAAAACAATAACAACAACTAACTATTACTTTGGGGAAAGGTTTCAGAGCGGACCCGCTCTCTTCCCATTCACGCTGCAAACTCGAACTCGTTTCTCAAAACATCGTCTCGGCAAATTGCCCTCATCAGGTAACTTGAACAAGAAACGATATGCTACCCGCCGGTACCCAACTCCTCAGTCCTCAGTGAGTTAGCTTTCTAAAGGAAAGATCAGTGCTTGATCCGACACACTGGTTGTTGAATTGCGACACCATCGCAAGCAACCATCCTCAACTCCTCTTCGAATTCCATGGGGTTAGAATTCCATAGACACCTAAGTCAATCCCTCCATTGTAAGATAAGCCAACGCAACAGGCCATTCGCAGGGAAGTCAACCGCCGACACTAGCCAGAGGGAAACGCCATATCGGTTGAATGGAGGTTTACAAGTCAAGTGCATATCCTTTCTCGGGCGTCTTTTATGAAAGACAAAAAAAAAGTATTCGTTTCTTCCTATTTAGATCATGGCCAGCCTGGCCCATCCGTCCTCACTTTTCCGCAGCGACAAAAATGACACGTGCGCTAGTTGTATGCAGATGAAGCACGCACAACAGTCATGCATTTACAACAAACTGTTCAAATTTCCATCTGTTTACATGTATGTAAGTGCTGGGTACTACCCTGGTACGTGTAGTTATTACCAGTGGACAGACTGCACGGTGTAGCTGGCAGTGCTGAGCAGCGTTTCCTGTAAGACGACCACAGTGAACGGCACATGTGTATTCCCAGTAAATATCAGTCACCAGATAATCCTTTCGGAAAATGAAAATGAAATATTAATTCAAGAAGTGTTTTCTCAATTGCTCCAGTACATGTCTGTTGATATTGGACAACGTTTGAGAGCACCTCAGCTGGCTATTGCAGAAATTAGCTAAGAGGATTGTGCATTTGCAAGTTGATCGCACAGACATAAAAAAGTATGCGCGTGTGCACACGCACTTTACCGCTCGATAACCCCAAGCGATCTGTCTGAATTGCGAAGTAGGATGGACGGTTAGTGGGTTGTATGTGAAATTCGTAACATCTGGGATGTTCTAAAATGGTAAAAAGCAGCTTTCGACCTGTTTATCAATGAAACCTGGAGTCGTGTTGCTGGTGTGATGAGGTCGGCCAGAGAGCGGCGCATGTGCTGGAGGTGGGATGAGGTCGGCCAGAGAGCGGCGCATGTGCAAAGAGTGGTACGGTCAATACCGTTGTGACCGTAGCGTGCCCGATGCCCTGGCTTGCTAAACACGTCTGGAGGAAGCCGCTAACCATCACATGGAAGGTCTGGGAGATGAGCCGGCCGTGCAGGTTTGCGTCAGAGTAATAATACTACCTTTGTATTGCAGATAAGTTCCACGTCCTGACGGCACCGAAGAAGCTTGTGCCGAACTAAACGATCTGAAATGATCTCCTAAGGCAGCTATGCGAATAAGCTCTGCCTCACAAACCTCGCACCTATAAAATGAACTGACCAAATGCTTAGCGTAAGCACCTCTAATCACATGCCTCTGCTGTTAGCTACACTATGATACTCTGCTCATGCCCGCCCATCACTCAATAGCCCACTAACACCTCCAACCGCCTGTCTCCTTAACGCCTTCCCTGGGGTTTTATTAACGTTTGGACGCTGCCAGACTTGGCGTGCACCTGCACTCAGCGCTAGATTTGCTTACTGTAAGTCTAAAAAAATTCGGTGTGTTTAAAATATAAATTTCGGCCTCCAAAGGCAAAAAAACCCATTTTGTCCGCATTAAAATTTCAGCCTGTACTGCTGCTGCTAATGCCTGTATATGCTGTCATACCGAAGCTTGCAAACCAAAATTTCGGCTGCAACAAAATTCTGGCCTGAAGGCCAAGGCCAAAAATAGCCGAAAATAAATCTCCTTTATAGAAAAGAAAAGGAGCAAGGAAGTACAAGTTACGCTATAATGTCCATTGACACCACCAGTTACTGAACAATCAGCTCATGCGATAACTTTGCACGACACTGACCGACGGTACTGACGTTCTACAACTAACTGGTTGGTGTTAGTGGACATTATAGCGTAACTTGTAGTTCCTTGGTCCTTTTTGTTCTTCTATAAATTCATCATTGGCTCTCCATCCGAGTCCAATTAATATCCTCGGAAAGGTGAATTTGTTGAATTACAGTATATCTGTGGGCTTACGTCTTTGTAAGCGTACTGTTGGGTAACACTCCCGTATCAGGAGCTAGAAAACGATGACTTTCATAGGCTTGTCACTACGACCAATAAGGGTCAGAAAGACACGTATGTGACAAACTGAAACTCCAAGGTCACCATGAATAGCATAAGCGTAGTCTCTTTTTTAAGTTGCTCTTGTCCACGACAGGCTTTGCATGTATGCATCCTATGCTTCAAACCATCTGAAGACAATTTCTTTCTTTTCTACATTTGCTGTTTGCTGATCCTGCTGGGTATCCAGAGTTTCCAGCAGAAAATGCAACCACCGATACGTCGGAAGGTCAAGAAACCCGAGAGACAACTTCCGTAACTACGGTAGCTGAAGAAACCACCGAGCCTGTGACCACCCCAGAGCAGGCTTTGACTACTGAAGCAACGACAACACAGGCACCCACCCCAGCAACCACCACCCCATCAGCCACCACCGCAGTAACGACCACCCCAGCAACCACCACCCCAGCAACCACCACCCCAGCAACCAGCACCCCAGCAACCACCACCCCAGCAACGACCACTCCAGCAACCACCACCCCAGCAACCACCACCCCAGCAACCACCACCCCAGCAACGACCACCCCAGCAACCACCACCCCAGCAACCACCACCCCAGCAACCACCACCCCAGCAACCACCACCCCAGCAACGACCACCCCAGCAACCACCACCCCAGCAACCACCACCCCAGCAACAACCACCCCAGCAACCACCACCCCAGCAACCACCACCCCAGCAACCACCACCCCGGCAACCACCACCCCGGCAACCACCACCCCGACACCTACTACCACAAAACCCACGACCCCGGCAGCTTCAACCCCACCAGCGACAACCGAGGCCACCGAAACCACCCCTGGCCTGACCACCGTTGTCACGCCCTTCCAGGCTCCGGTCCCTATTTCAATTCACTCGGAAAGTGCAGCAAGTGATGCCACAAGCGCTCCGACAGCAGCCTCCATCACTACCGTCGATGGGAACGCTGATGACAATTCCGGTGGCGGAGTATCGAGCGGTGTCGTCGTCATCATCATCGTCTGTGTTTTGGTGGCAATCATTCTGGCTATCATCATTGCATTCGTTGTGGTGAGCATGACGCGGAGAACGCAGGGAGTTTACGAGACCTGTGAAGGAGAAGATTCACCCGGAAGCCAGGGTCAGCAGAAAGCGGAGGTTTTCCTATAAAGGCTGTGCTGAGGCACGTTGGCCTTGGGCTTGACATGCATGGTTGCACTGCACATTGGGCAGGCGTGAGCACTGCACATTGGACATGCATGGTTGCACTGCACATTGGACAGGCGTGAGCATTATTTTGCTACTCTAACCATGTATGTAACCTGTTACGTGTGTACGCTTTTGTGTATGTGTAAGCTGTGTGCATGTGTGTGTGTGCATGCGCGTGTGTCCATGTGTGTGTGTGTGTGCGTGCACACGTGTGTGTGTGTGCGTGTGTGTCCGTGTGTGCACGTGCGTGTGTGTCCGTGTGTGTGTGGGTTCGGGTGTTTGTGAGAAAGAGACAGACAGGGAGTGAGCGAGTGAACGTGTTTGCGTGCACGCACACGAGTGAACGTGTTTGCGTGCACGCACACGAGGGTACATGTGTGCACAGTTATATCTACATGCATGCTCAGCCGCTAGCAAGTCTTTGAATGCATCCAGTATCGGTGCGCATCTAACTAGAGAGACCGAAGTATGTATTTTCGAGAGAGAGAGAGAGAGAGAGAGAGAGAGAGAGAGAGAGAGAGCCGCTTTCACCGCTGACAGTATAATATCGGACGGATGTTGTCACGTTAGTTCTATCCCAGAATGAGGAACATCAGTCTGCTGGGCAGGAATGCATGGCATTCTTGTACCTGCACTGGGCAATTGAGTTCTGACATCACTCCTAGCCAACGCTCAGCAATGTGCAGTCACGGACTGGCGCCAGCGATACTGGCAGGAAATCATTTTCTGTTAGCAGCGCATGCTGTTCTCTTCTTCCTTTCTTGCTATGAGCATCATTGCTTTAGCCATGGAGTCTTCCCCTATACAGACATTGTAATTTGTAGGCTTTAGCACTATTCTACTTCGGATTATATTAGGGACACGAAGCCATTTGCTCAACTCAGGCTTCGAATTCTACATGCCTTTAGCATGGGTTTTGACTCGACTTCTTTCTGTATTTTATGAACCGCTCCATTCACTCTAGCTCTCCTGCCGCTATGTATCTTGAAAGATTTCATCCTGTTGTACAATCACCAAGGATCTACTTCAGTAATCTTGGTTGATTGGCAGTTATACATGTGTCTGTGCAGTTTCTGGGTGATGCTTGTGTGTGTGTATGTGTGTGTGTGTGTGTGTGTGTGTGTGTGTGTGTGTGTGTGTGTGTGTGTGTGTGTGTGTGTGTGTGTGCATGTGTGTGTGTGTGTGTCACTGTGTGTGTGTGTGTGTGTGTATGTGTGTGTGTGTATGTGTGTGTATGTGTGTGTGTGTGTGTGTGTATGTGTGTGTGTATGTGTGTATGTGTGTATGTGTGTGTGTATGTGTGTGTGTGTGTATGTGTGTGTATGTGTGTATGTGTGTATGTGTGTGTGTGTGTGTGTGTCCAAGTCCACCCAAAGGTTTGGGGGTTTCAGGGGGTGTGGGCCGTTGGGCGGTTCAATAGCCAATTGAGTCATCTTTCCAAGTTTCCTTTTGAGTCTCTCTCCCCTCTCCTGGGGAGACCAACGTGGCCAATTTTGGCAGTGAGCAAGTACAAGTATGTGTGTGTGTGTGTGTGTGTGTGTGTGTGTGTGTGTGTGTGTGTGTGTGTGTGTGTGTGTGTGTGTGTGTGCGTGTGAAGAATGAAAAATTTTGAAAAATGGAAATAGGGATTCACTGGCCAGAAAAAGCCACTTCAATCAGCTGTGTGGTGGATACCAGGCTAAATTAAGTGGCTGTCAATTCATCACGCAGCCTTACAAGCTGTTGAATGGTGTAATCCCAGCACTAGTTGCTATGTCTAACATAGCTGTTCGCTATCATTGCTTATGCGATGGGCAGGTCTGAGGTGTATGTGTGTGTATACATGCATGTGTGTGTTCGTGGGTGCATGCATGCATGCGTGTGTGTGTGTGTGTGTGTGTGTGTGTGTGTGTGCGTGTGTGGGTGCATGCATGTCCTACATAATTATATCTACCATCAAAACTGCCAATAGCACACGGATCATTGCCCCCCCCCCCAAAAAAATTCAGAATGCATCAGATTCTCTACATGTACCTTTACGCTGCATCATAATTCTGTTGTTCCGGCTACACATTCCCCTGGCAAAAGTCAGACAGCTAGCAAGCATCATAATTCTGTTGTTTCGGCTACACATTCCCCTGGCAAAAGTCAGACAGCTAGCAAGCATCATAATTCTGTTGTTTCGGCTGCACATTCCCCTGGCAAAAGTCAGACAGCTAGCAAGCATCATAATTCTGTTGTTTCGGCTGCACATTCCCCTGGCAAAAGTCAGACAGCTAGCAAGGCAGTCGTCATCGGACATGAAGAACAGCTTGAATTCTAAAAGAGAGAAAAACGTTGGAGAAGAGTGAGCAGAATAGGTATTTTAATACTATTAGTACTTTCACATAGTGCACACTGGTCATTCTATGAAAGTTGGAAATGGTACGGCCTGCCGCACCAGTGTCACTAGCCCTGCCACTACTACTCGCAATCCAGTGATATCTATAATTATTACCAGTAGCATGGTCACTATCTCAGAATCCGGTGCAAAAGCGGAAATCCATCCGTAGCCAGTCAAGTTAGGTATAGTTATTTACTAAGAATACACGCACAATGGTGTTGATCAGGGGAGATACTACTAGTAGTATGAATCTGCTATTTGTGACAGAACTGGTTGCAGCTAGAGCGAGCGTGTGATGTGCGGCGTGAGGTGACCGCCTGTTCGCTAACTGCATGACTGTACAGTGCTTTTGCAAACACCAGAAAAATGCATACACTTGGTAGTTGTTTTAAGTAAAGGGAGAGCAAAGTGTATGGATTTCAAGATAGACTCAAAATTTACAAAATAAATAGGAAAAGGCGACAGCGTATACTGCCAAACGCGGCAACGTCCGAATCATTACAAAGCCCAAATCGGAGTACATGTTCAGTTTACGTATACCAGATCTCACTCACTGAGTATCCTTTTGAAACGGCAGCAGAAGCCCTCCAAAAGCTTCACGCCTGACAGACGTCCCGCAGCCCATGAAGCATGGGCAGAGCGTGTGCTGCAGGCGAGAGGTACGGATGGGTAGAGATACAACAGCTGCACCAACCAGATCCGATCTGTCATTGACAAGTCTGTTTGCTACTGACAAGCTCCTGCAGTTTGTGCAGACATTTCTGGAAGAAGATATTCGCCAAGAAATGCGAAAAATCGATTCCACTAAAATCTCAGCAGATGACGGCGATTCGATTTCTGGGGCTCCATCGCTTTCTCACACCTGCTCGCCTTATCGAAGGTGTTTGTGCCTGGAGTAGTACAAAGCAATGCAAGACAACATGCACAAGCATACACACACGCACACACACAGACGGTAATAAGAATGCAGACACACAAACACACACACGCACGTGCGTGCGTGCAACAAACGTGCGTGCAACTGTGTTTATACACAACACCATCATGGTATTGCTGCAAGACCAACAAAATCTTTAAAGACAACAGTGTTGTCAAACATATCAAAACAGTAAAGACTAAGTGAGGAGCAGTCTGACTTACTCTCTCCCCCTCAATGAAGGCACGCACACACACACGCACGCACACACACATGCACACACGCACGCACACACATACACACAAACGCATGCACGTATGCTTACCCAAGGATCCTAGAAAAGTCTCGAGAATTCTGCCTGCAAATGGTGGTCAGGATTCCATACAGGTCGTGGAGCGTCGGGCAGTTTTTCTGTGCCCTCAGCCAGTGCAGTGTGCCGTGTACGTTCTTGATATCCGCCTTCCCGCGCATATCCTTATGATTGTCGTCCATGTAGTCCGGTAGGACAATGCGATAGTTACGTAGAAGCTTCTCGTCGACGAATTCTGCAGCATGCCTGGCCAGCAACTCTGTGCACAACATAGCAGCAAAGAGACGGGAATGGAGAGAGGGAAAGAGGAGGGGGGGGGGGGGGGGGGGAGGGGGTGCAGACAAACTTCAGCACACTGATGAATGTACATGTATTCGAATACTTCAAAGTTGTACGCACTACGCCATTCCCCGCCTCAGATCTGCGCCAAATATGATGTAATCACGGAATTCCTCCGTGACAGAAACCCATAGCAGAAAAGGCCCCAAGCTGCACACCCTGGTTTCCATGTACTCTTGATGTCTGGTAATCCAGAGTGTCCATATTTGGGGAATCCAGGTTAGGCCAGTCTACTGGGCTTACCTACCTGTTACAGATATTTCCAAATGATGTCTGCCAACAGAAATACAATCGCTCCAATGATGACGACTTAAAAACGTCTCAGAGAGCGTTGCAGTCTAGAAGGGAGCCTTTTCATCAGGTTCATTCCTGAGATAATGCGAGACAGAAAGATGGACAGACAGACAAGCTGATGGATAGACAGACAAGCTGACGGACAGACAGAGAAGAGAGGCATCAAGCCAAGACCGAATTCTTCAAACATGACACCTCAGCACAAATGAAGAGGTACCCATAACATACAACCAATAGTCCATACCCTCCCCCCCCCCCCCCCAAGGTGGGCAACGCCTGGGCCAGCTGTGCATAGGGTCTTGGTCAAGCATTGTTGGATCTTCTGATGTCATGCATCCACGCCACAACAGCGCAAGGCCGGTCTCGAGGCAGGGCACCATTGTTTTTGATCCACGAGTACCCGCGACTCCCCGGGATCCGTTCAAGGCATTATCCATATCGTGCAACCATCGCCATGTGTATTGTAAAACGTTTCCCCTGCACGCAGCGATATTACAAAATTCATCGATCTTCGGCCTGCACCCGTGGAAATTACCTTGGCCGGGCACTGGTGTGTATCCAGCTGTGGTGAATGGCTAGATAGTCCATGACTCCACAGCAGCTGCTCTTTCAGATCCTGCCAACCGATACAAACAGAAATGTGACGCAGTACTACACTTGCTGCATGTGACCTTGCAATGGAGCACATCCAAGCAGAAATCGTATGTAAAAAAATTTGAATATTGGCATGAGAAATGTTTGGTTCAGGCACTCGACTGCCTTACACCTACCTGTGCAGCACTTGTAGGACACACATTCACAGGTTCTTCATTGCACCGGCCAGGCATGGAGCAGTTCGTAATCGATTTGGTGGAGTCCCATTTGGATATCAGAGCTCACTAAGATACTGTAAGTCCACTAAATATTCGGCGCATATTTCGTTCTTCGCATATAGATTTTCGGCTATTTCGGCCTGGGCATGCTTGTCCGGAGATTTGTTGTGACAGTGTATGCAGGCAGCAACAGCACAGGCCGCAATATTAATGCGGCCGGAATGTGCTTTCACTCTGGGAGGCCAAAATCTATATATGCCTAAAATTTGTGGACTTACAATATGACTAGGATGGAGGGGGAGGGGGGGGGGGCGTTTGGACCAAAAAAATGTTACATTACGATCCCTTCCACTTGAATATCAGCCGTCGTCTATTCTTGGTAGCATAGGGGCATCATTATAGTACTCACAGGGCGCTGCAGAAATCGCTGGTGGTTGAAATCTTCAGCTTTCATGTCCCCGACAGCAAAGACACTCTCTTCTCGCTGGGCTGTTTAGATGTTGCCAACAAGCTCTGTGTCTGCATTTACCTTGTAGCGGTCATTGGAAGCCAGGGAAAGACCTAGCACACATCTTCAAAACAAAACAAAAAACACACTTTACAGTTGCAAGTAATTGGCGTGGCGCACGTGAAACGGGTGTTTAGCTGCACTCGATTGAAAAGTGGAAAACGTATTCAAAGTTTGAACTTGCTTACATGTTCGGCTTAAGACTGCGCACAAAAGCATCTCTCATTAACCTTTGCGGAAGATTCTACTCTAGAGAGGGTAAGGCGATAGGTCTAACAACCAGTAACCGACGATGGGGCAAAACCTCATTGGCTGAGTCCATGGTGACCATGGTGATCCATGGTGACCTCGGTTGACCTCGGGGGGGGGGGGGTCAGCCCAGTTCATTGCATCTTAAGTGGGTCATGCTTGCATCACTGCATTTATCAGCACAGCACACATTCCCTGCTGCCGGCTCGGGTCTCTAACTCGAGACCTTGCTGTGGTGATTCGCCGGCAACCTCGCAGCCATTCACTCTCCCATGAAGACAGTTGATGGAGAAAAGGAGGATAGAAACAAAATATTTGAAAGGCAGACAAAAACTGAAAGGGATCTGATCCTGCATTCACAGCTACCTAGACACATGATACAGTCATGTGACTAGGCAGGCTGAGAAGTCCGGAGTTTGTTCTTGCTATCTCAACAAATACCAAAACCAGCCTTTATTGGATAACGATAGCTCCTACGGCCAACTCAAAAGAGATCCAGTTTCTCTTACTTGGTTCTCCAGTAGAAAATTTCCCTGGGTGGATGCATACGTAGGACCTCGCATACAAATGCTTCGACAGACGTGAGGCCATCCAGCGAGACTGGACAGAATGTGTCCTGGCTGAACGTGTTGGACACCTGAGCCATCGACAAAGAAACAGCCGAGGATAACCAATAGAGCAATAGAATAGACATTCAAAATTAATGATTATTGAAACGCAATTGAACACTTTTAACAGGCTCACCTAAAATTTCAATTGCAATTGAGTTGGAATATCTAAGACAGACAGGCGCGTAGCCCACATGGGCCAGGGGGGGGGGGGACGTGCACCCCCCCCCCAAATGTCGACCCTGGTTCAGCATGCACATAATGACCATGAATGACATGCACCAGCCATCCTAAACATATACGGCGGTGCACAACCCCCCCCCCCCTCCCCTAAAAGGGGGACCAGCTATGCCGCTGTCACAGAGTACTGTACCAGGAAGATTGCTTTCCCCAACAATGGTGATCATCACGCCTTGATTCCTTCCCATGCCGTTACCTTCACTATCAGGTTCCCTGCATTGCATTAACCTGGTTCAATACTTTTAGGCGTGCAACCTGCTCAAATCAGGCAGGCTTGCTATGGATACCATGGTGATCGAATGGTGCTCTGCTAAATACCAGAGATAATAATTGTTGTGACCAAAGCTAAGTGCTACAAGTGCATGCACGTCAAAATATTCGATTTCTGCACATTCTTTACACGTCCGCGACTGTAAGTGTGCTCATAAGCATAATAGAGAGTATACGATTGCAGGTCATTAACTACTTGAGATGTTTCTATTGACTGGCATCATGAACCCCGATTAACGAGTACTGGTATGCATAAGTGCTGGTATACATGAGTACTGGTATGCATGAGTCCTGAAACTTTATCCATACTTATGGTGGTGAACACGCACCTGGCAGTATGGCGGTAAATACACGCCGGCCAGTAATAGGCGCTGTTCACACAAGGCATTACGTCATGTTTTGGGCCTTGAAAAACCCCGGGAAAGCGTTTTGGGTGGCAGAGACCTGGCGCATGGCGTTGGCATTTATCCACGAGGTGAAATATGAAAGTAGGAAGCGGTATTTTTGTCTTTTGCCTGGTCTTTTCGTTCTTGTTGGCTGTTGCCTATGGACGCTCTGGACCATGTCTGCCCAATCGTCAGCTGAGGACCGCCTGAAGAAGTCCAGCTCGTTATGGGAATCGACTTTGCGCAAGAAAAACTCTTCGTCATGGAAAGTGGGGGAAATGAGGCTGTACCTGCAGCTGAAAGGCGAAGACGACTCTGGAAAGAAAGCTGACCTGCAAAAGAGGTGAGACACACAAAACACCTTGTCCTCTGTGTAAGGATGCAATAAAAAATTGATATTACTCCTGAAATTGCTGTCGGAATAGTTTCCAAATAATAATAAAATGCGCAATAATATTATTATCATTCGCTGTACACACGTTTTTGTATTTGTGCAGAGTGTCGGCACTGCTGCTGTCTGGGACTGTGACTGGGGAGCTTGAGGATGACACCGCTGGAGCCTCGTCATCTGATGTCCGTTTTCCTGACAGAGGATGGAAGAAGCTGGTGGATGTGACGCAGGAGGAGCTGAAGATGAAGTTCTCAATCTTCTCCCTCATGGACCACTTCATGTGCAGGAAGTCGTCTGATGGTCTGGATGCTGACGACATGAGAGCTGTGTCCTCCCATAGCTTTGGACTCTACAGCAAGAAGTACTGCCGAGATGGAGAGGTGTGCCTGGAGAATGGGACGGTGTATTTCCGTGGGTTTTGCAAGGCAGAGATGAAGACGTCGATGCGGTATAAAATAGCAATGGCAATGAAACGCGAGCCCTCTGTACGGATCATCTATGCGTCTTGTGAGTGCCGAGCTGGCATTGGCCCATCAGCCAGCTGCAAGCACATCGGGGCCATGTGCTATGGACTAGAGGAATTCTGCCGACGAGGGATATTCACTGGGATGACCTGCTCAACCAGTGACCTACAGGCTTGGAGCGCACCACCAGGCAAAAGGCGAGTTTCTGACATGGAGTTCGCTAAGCCTGTGTTCAACCATACCCCGAAGTCAACCTCCAGTCGTGCGTCCTTCGATCCACGTGCTGCCACCGCTCCAAAAGACTCTGCACCAGAAGAGCGACAGAGACTCTTTGACTTGTTGAGCTCTTGCTCCCAACCAGCCAATATCCTGGACACTCTGCGGCCATGCTCTACCTCTCCTGCTCAGACAACCACCTGCTCCACTGGATCAACCGACTGCCGGTCAGTGCCGGAGCTAGTGCAGCTGATGAAGGAGTCCAGGACGTACCGCAGCACATTCCGACCTGATGGCAGTGTTGTCGTGGCATGGTGTGATATGTTCATGCGTCATATGCAAGTGTCCAGGCAGCAACGCCATGCACTGGAGTATCGAACTCGTGGGCAGGCTGGTAACCGGCAGTGGAAAATGCAAAGGTATGTCTGAGGATAGTGTACTGCATTCAGTCCAGGAAAGTCTGCAGGCACATAACACTATCCAAAACATGACGAGTGTATACTGTTTTCATGCTTTTGTTGACGACTTTGTTTAGGCCATGACTTTACAACACTTTCAAGTATGTTCAAATTCACCCAACACTGCAGATTGGTTGGTTCATGTGTATGTCCCTCTGGTGTGTTCATTTTGTGCCCTATGCAACAGGTACGGGCGACTCACAGCATCCAACTTCGGCGTGATTGTGAAGTGCAAATCAGCACATCCATCGTTGGTGAAACGCCTTCTATCCCAGTCAGTTATCAACAGTCCGGCCTTGTCGTGGGGCAGAGAGCATGAAGATGAAGCCGTCCGCATCTACTCGGAGAAGCAGCACATGTCTGGCATGAATGGCCTGTGTGTCTCACGGCGTGGTCTTGTTGTAATGCAGTGTGGGTACGTTGCTGCCAGCCCAGATGGAATCGTATTCGTCCCGACCCAGCCGCTGACATCGCAAATGGGTTTACTTGAGGTCAAATGCCCATATTCCCATCGTCACCACTCTCCCCAAGATGCATGCATGGAGTCTGGCTCCAACCCATTCTACTGCACATGGTCAGATGGAGGTTTATGCCTACGGCGACAACATGACTATTTCTATCAAGTGCAAGGTGGCATGGCAGTTGCTGAAGTGCAGTGGTGCGACTTTGTCGTGTGGACGCCAATGGGCATCGCTATACAGCGAATCCCATTCGACGCGGCGTTCTGGAAGGAGCAGATGGAGCCGAAATTGACCGGCTTCTACCGTGGTTGGCTGCTTCCGCAACTTCTTCACCCACAAGAAGAGCCCGTCTGCTACACGGATGTTGCCCCTGCCGACCTCACCCAGCGCAATGTGCCGCCGCCAGTGTCGTGTGCTCTACAAGATGCCGCCATCTCTCCAACGCAAGAGAAGGATAACCCGCCACGACAGGTGTGCGCTGCAGAAGATGCTGCCAAGTCTCCAACGCAAGGAAATGTGGACCGGCAGCAACGTATGTCAACCGCCACAGGAGTCTCATCCTGCTGCCAAGGTTGTTCATTTGATCGAGCATTGGCATTGCATCCGTGCAAAGTCTGTGCCCATCAGTTCCATCATATGTGCACGAATGATGACATGGGCAAAGTTTGCAGTTGCTGCTTGAGAGCTCATGGTGACGTCAGTCTTTGACGTGTTCATTGGCTGCCACCATTGCTACATGTATTTCCCCACCCTATGGACGGTGGAGCTGTGGCAATGCATCCACATGAACGGCTACGCATGCATACGGTGTACATACTTATATTGTCAGTGTACATAATGTCTAGTGTTTTATTGCCAGTGTACAGAACATGAAAGTGGATACAGCCCCACGTCACACCATTTTTTTTACAACCATACGTGAACATAGCCCACTTTATTGCCGTACATGACAGCCACACACATGCTTGTGATTTGTATGGTTGCTTCCATGATCCATTGAGTTACTTCATAGAACGCACTTTTGTCACTTCATGCTGAAAAGAAAAGAGGAGAAATACAGGCAGTGATATTGCTATGGTGGTGACAGCAGTAACGTGTGGAAAATAGCAACGGATGCATGGTGGGGGGTTGGGGGGGGGGGGGGGGAAGAGGCTCACAGAAGCAAACACTGGGACAGGCCATCATGAACCTGTCAGTAACTGAACGCATTGAGCAGTAACGGTGCAGCAAGAAATGGAAGGAAACTATGTAATGAGCTGCGCACCAAAATCGGCAACCACACAGCAAACCAGAAATATGGCATCAGCAATGTCAAAGTGAGCGGATAGAATAAAATCCAGGATGTGAAAGTTCTTTATTCGTTCGATAGCACGTTCTACATGAACGCGTAGCGAGGCAACGCGGCGGGTCTGCACCAACTCCTTTTCGGTCAGCTGTTGGCCATTCTTGATGAACGGTGGTATGTTGACATAGGCACCCCGTTCTGAGGTAACAAGAAACAAGAAGCACAGTTTATAAGCTTCCAAGCAAAACTTGCTTACACCACCATTTCCAGCATTGACTGCACAACACATCTACTGTGAGGAGGAGTTTACAGCACTGATCGCAACCATAAAGTATTGTTCACCAAAAGGAAACAAAACAGGGGACATACCTTCACAGAGTTCCTTGATTGTGAATCCTTTGTCCGCCATGACTGAGTCACCTTTGTCCAGCAAATCCAGCACTCCACACGTCTTGGTGATTTCACGGTCAGAAACTGACCCACCATACAGGGAAGAGATGAACGAGATAGCTCCACTGGGTGTGATGCAAACTAGAGCTTTGAATGTGTTTCTATTCTTGTACGTTGACCAGGTGACTCTCTGAGTGTCGGGGTCGGAGGGAATCTGGATGGGAAACTCGGTGCAATCGATTATAGTGCGTGTGGTGGGGTATAGGTCGCGGAACTTCTGGGGCATAGCGGCATCGATCTACAGGTTAGTAGATAGAACATGGGCACATAGCACACACACACACACACACCAATGGGACTCAATTCTCGAAAGACCAGATCAAGCACAGACACTGATGCGATCGTATGTAAGGTATACTTTAGGAAAAAAATAAACCAGCCCTATTGCAATCCAAAAGGCTGGACTCACTAACGACCAGTAATGGGTTAGGCTTCAGCTGTTGAGCCACGGGCATATCATCAACAGACACAAATCATTCTGGCATGACAACTAACCTGCGCTCTAGACGGCCAGGCGGGTAGCTGTGCGGACTTGAAGGCGTGGTACATGACCATAAGGTACGAGGTGAAGATGCGGCTCACAGTACCTGCACTGATTGAAAACCTCTGAGCCAGGTCTTCGTTAGGACAATCCAGCCGCAACTTCATGAACGTAAGGAGCAGGCTGTTTTCATCGTCCAAGGCCCTCACACACTGACGTTGCCGTTCACCTATGCAGTGGGCACAGTACATTGAACCGAGACATGTATGACATGGCCCACGAAAAGAAGTTTGATTTGCCAGGAGGATGGAGACTCACAGCACTGAGTATGGAAATTATGGTACCGACACAAGTAGGTTCCGTACTACTGAAGTCATTCCACCCAACAACATTGCAAAGCACAGTATTTACATCATCAAAATCTAGCACAGAGCAGATAACATCCTCACCTGTTCTTGCTCCATTCCATAAAGTCATCCCCTTGCAGTGGGGCTCCAGGAAAGCCACCAATGCCTGAAATTGCTCATAGCTGGGGATACCAGTATAGAACTTGGTGAGGCTGTCACTGTTGCAAATCCTGGCGACAGAAAACTCTGGTGCTGGTACTGTGGCAGTTTCCTCCAACTTGACTCGCAGTGCCTCATTCTCCTGTGTCAACTTCTGCACCTCCATCCGCAACCGTGTGTTCTCCTCCAAACATTCCTGGATCTGAGTTCGCACTTCACTGATCTGCTCATCAACGCTGGGCAGGGATGGTGATGGCTGCTCCTCACAAGTGCTTTCACATGTTTCAGGCTTCGCTGCTGACGGTTGGGGCGTTTTGTCCTGATGTGTCTTCAGAGCCACGCGTTCTTTTGGCGTTTTCCTCGTCTTCTCTGCTGCTGACCATGCGAACAGCGTTGGGATAGGATGCTCCTTGGAGCGCTTTCCGCCAACAAAATGAGCGCCGCAGACCCTTGTCGAGCTGCCCACAACCACACTCGATGTCCGCATGTTGTGGAGCCACTTTTTGAGTGTAGGCTTCTTTCCCAGAGGAAGACGGTGAAAAGAAAGCTTTGTTCCATCTTTCCGCTTGCCACCCCGATTAGAGCAGCCAAAGACGCAGCAAGTCTTCGTCATCGTGTCTAAACGACTACAACCACTTCCTCCACAGTCGACAGATAACCTGAACCTAACTAAATCAAAATGTAAGTTTGTTCTTTCTTCAAACAACGAAGCCCAAAAGTTTTTGCCACCCAATCTGAGCTTCCCGCGCGATGACGTAAACCAATGATGTCACTTGCCCTTGTGTGTACAACGCCTATTGAACAACAGGAAGAAAAGAGATCAATGGCTGTAAGTACAGTCTAGTATGCATGTCTGGTATACATGATTACTGGTATACATGTAGAGGCGACGGTTTCAACTAGGACATAGGTTGCAAACCGGAACGGACTCAATATTCACTTTCTCTCTTGGTATTTTGATTAGAAAACATATGTCACAGTGAGACTACGATGTGTTATACTCCGAGCCAAAATGTCATGGCTCTGTGATGACCAGAAGCGCCATACCAAGCAGGTGAGTTTTTGACGTGTTGCTTCGCACTGCGACTTGAGTTTTACGACTTTCGAAAAATCAACTTCTTGTCGCAGGTAAACAGCGGCTCGCCTCTCGCCAATAAAGCACCGCATACCAATCAAAACTAATGGAAGCACACACAAGGCTTATTGTTACTCTGTACTGGCCGTCGTGGAGTGATAGCAATTACCTAATTTCAGACCCAGAGTGAAGTTGACGTGCACTCTAAGGGCCCGGCCTCACATGCACTTGAGAGTTGCGGATCCGCTGCAGCGGTGTCGCAAGCAAGAGCGTGTATCACCATGTAAACTGCGAGTAGCGGAACTTCCGCCGTGGCGGAAAGTTCAAATCCGCTACTCCAAAAATTTTGGAGCGTATACTCTCCTGCGGAAGTTCCGCTCCTGCGACACTCCGACATAGTGAGCGATTTGTGTTGTTCGATTTTATTTTCGATCATGAAGTGGACAGTTTGACTTTAGTCAATATATCAGAGCAGCTACGGCTGCAGTTGTACATGTATGTTGAAGTCAAGACTCGTTTGGCCAAGGGATGAAGAGAGATACGGAGCGATAGGTGGATAGCCGAGAAGCTGAAACCGACGGCTGCGGCGTCGGCCAAAGACCAAATCCCGGACCCGTGAGCAGCCAAGCATGGCCATCATGTAAAACCACGCAGTCGGACCACTGTGATGTAGGTCTAGCAAGAGCGATACATGTACCACTATTACCAGTATCTGTAGCAGTTATCATTGCCATTGGTTATCGTCGACGTGCTGCTCAACAAGTTCGTACTAGTATTCAGCAACAAAATGTCGCTGCGGTCTCCATTGCCTGTCGACAACGTCTCGACAATCGACCTCTACCCAACGGAAAATCCATTCTTTCAGATTACTAGTATAGTATACAGAACAAAGACTCAAAGTCAACAATACCGAACCCACGACATGTAGCTAATGCTTGATACTCAACAAAAACAACGATCTGTCCAACACCTAGTATCTACATCAACAGTACATCAGTGCTGCGTCGATGTGTCCACAAAGGACGAAACAGTTCTGTCCACGGACACAGTACTGACTGTACATCATCAGTACGTGCACGCGTACTTCGAAGTGAAAGCATGCTTGAGTTGCAGGGGAGCTGCACTGAATATTTTGGAAGTCAGAGAGGCGCGCTCGCTTCGTTCGCCGTGCACGCGTGAGCATGTGAGACCACGCGTACGCGAGCATTTTGTCGCAGGAGAGGTGCGACACTACTCCCGCAAAACCTTGTCGCACCAGCGGATCCGCCACTGCATGTGGGACCGGGCCCTTAAACGAGTCCGGTTTGGAGCCACCTCTGATTTGAACTTTTTGAAGCGAAAAATTGGGCAACTTGGAGGCAATGGGTCAACACAAAGGAGTGGCTCAGTTCGATTGACTCTGGCCCCAGAGCAAATTTCAACATGCCAGTTTCCTTCCACAAACATATTTCGAGTGAAAAATCAACGCTGATGATCGGTTTGGGTCTATACAAATTTGGCTGTCAAAGCGTTCCAGTATCGAGCCGTCTACTCTACATGATTACTGGTATACATGAATACAGATTATCGCACCCCACGTGAGTGTCTCCATGGTTTGAGCCAATCAGCGGCCTTACTGAGCGTGCAATATTCCCCAGTACACCGCCAGCCAATGAGTGGATGCACTGCAGTGCGATATTGCACCCCGGCGCCGGCGAGTGAGCGTGCAAATAACCTATATTTGCACGCTCACTTCGAAGTGAGCGTGCAAATATAGGTTATTTGCACGCTCACTTCGAAGCGAGCGTGCAAATATAGGTTATTTGCACGCTCGCTTCGAAGTGAGCGTGCGGATATGTTATTTGCACGCTCACTCGCCGGGGTGCAATATCGCACTGCAGTGCATCCACATACTCATCTGGTCATTGGCTGGCGGTGTACTGGGGAATATTGCGAGTCGCTCCGCCAAGCAGTCGCTGCTGACTTGCTGCAGCACACCAAATAATAATTGGTCGAGGACGTTGTCGCGGAAGCGAATGTGGACCCGGCTTGCGTCCGCCAAGCCAACTTCACAAGCTCCGTGAGAGTCGAGACAGCAGATGCCCAAGTATTGGAGAAGACTGTCGACAGCCGATTTGAGAAACTGTCCGACGCCGCCATCGACAGCCTCGTTTCTGAGCAGAAAAACAAAAACACAGCGGAGCAGGCAACTGACAAATGGCTCCGCTTATTCGACGAGTATTGTAAAGACACAGGACGTCGCTGTGACCTGAGTACGGTTACGGCAAGCGACCTAGCTTTAATACATTCTGCGACATGCATACGTCGAATTCCGTCCGGAGAAAGCTGGAGTGAAGTTCTACTCTGCATCAAGCTTGCTCGGTTTCCGTTCCGCAATACATCGCAAGCTAGTCGAGTTGAAGCGGCCCATGAACGTCCACAGTGACCCAGCGTTCAAGGACGCAAACATTGCATTGAAGGCTTTCCTCATGAAGCCAAAGAAAGCGGGAGAAGTCAAACTGAGCGGTGGAGCACAAACACCCCATCAACGACGACGACATGAGCAAGCTGTCCCGCTACTTCCAGGATCTCCCGTGTATAGACAGCAGCTGCTCGAAAGAAGTGTTCCTCTAAAAATGAACGCGACTGGTTGTGCTGTGTTGTATGACTGTGAAATGATAGCAGGGTTGAATGCAGCATGCTAGGGTTGCACCAGACTGTGTCAAGTGTATGTGGTGACAGACTGTGTGGTGGCAGGGGTGCGATAAATGTATTACTGCACTCGGACGCGTGCAATACCGGCGTCGATATCTGCACTTACGGCTTCGCCGTTCGTGCAGATATCGGCCGGTATTGCACTGGTCCTTGTGCAGTAATACATACTTATAGCACAGGTAACCATGAGTACGTATGTATTACTGCACAAGGACCAGTGCAATACCGGCCGATATCTGCACGAACGGCGAAGCCGTAAGTGCAGATATCGACGCCGGTATTGCACGCGTCCGAGTGCAGTAATACATTTATCGCACCCCTGCCACCACACAGTCTGTCACCACACACTTGACACAGTCTGGTGCAACCCTAGCATGCTGCATATATGCGCATGCAACCCTGCTATCATTCACAGTCATACAACACAGCACAACCAGTCGCGTTCATTTTTAGAGGAACACTTCTTTCGAGTAGCTGCTGTCTATCACGGGAGATCCTGGAAGTAGCGGGACAGCTTGCTCATGTCGTCGTCGTTGATGGGGTGTTTGTGCTCCACCGCTTTGACTTCTCCCGCTTTCTTTGTCTTCATGAGGAAGGCCTTCAATGCAATGTTTGCGTCCTTGAACGCTGCGTCACTGTGGACGTTCATGAGCCGCTTCAACTCGACTAGCTTGCGATGTATTGCGGAACGGAACCGAGCAAGCTTGATGCAGAGTAGAACTTTACTCCAGCTTTCTTCGGACGCAATTCGACGTATGCATGTCGCAGAATGTAAGCTAGGTCGCTTGCCGTAACCGTACTCAGGTCACAGCGACGTCCTGTGTCTTTACAATACTCGTCGAATAAGCGGAGCCATTTGTCAGTTGCCTGCTCTGTGTTTTTGTTTTTCTGCTCAGAAACGAGGCTGTTCGATGGCGGCGTCGGACAGTTTCTCAAATCGGCTATCGACAGTCTTCTCCAATACTTGGGCGTCCGCTGTCTCGACTCTCACGGAGCTTGTGAAGTAGTTGACTTGGCGGACGCAAGCCGGGTCCACATTCGCTTCCGCGACATCGACAGCGTCCTCGACCATTTTGGTGTGCTGCAGCAAGTCTGCAGCGACTCCCTGGCGGAGCGACTCGCAATATTCCCAGTACACCGCCAGCCAACGACTAATAGTCTATGTGGATGCACTGCAGTGCGATATTGCACCCCGGCGAGTGAGCGTGCAAATAACCTATATCTGCACGCTCACTTCGAAGCGAGCGTGCAAATAACCTATATTTGCACGCTCGCTTCGAAGTGAGCGTGCAAATATAGGTTATTTGCACGCTCACTCGCCGGGGTGCAATATCGCACTGCAGTGCATCCACATTGGCCGGCGGTGTACTGGGGAATATTGCACGCTCAGTAAGGCCGCTGATTGGCTCAAACCATGGAAACACTCACGTGGGGTGCGATAAATAATTATTATACATGTACATGAACACAGGTATACAAGAGCTCCCTCCGAGTTTACATGAACACAGGTATACATGAGTACATAATATACATGTACATGAGCACAGGTGTACATGAGCCCTGGCATACTACTGCATACAGTATACAGTTTACAGTACACAGTGATCTCATTCGCATGCATGACTCTATCCGTACTTCATAAGAGCAACAGCTTGGTCCGTGATTCCGTGAAGTACCCAGCCCGGTCTAAATCTACATCAGTAGACCATATACAGTAAGTATCGTTTATAAAGTGACCGGATATAATGATATACCGGTTATAGTGATAGAACACGTCAAAATCAAAATCAAATCAGAAAAAATACAGCTAAAATATTTCTATATACACTATTATCGGCTATACCGATATATCGCTTATTGTGATGGACTTCAGGAAGCAAACCATATCAAATGTACAGGAAAATATCGCATATAATGATCAAGAGTGATGATCACACGTTTCTGTATGCACATGTCCTTTTCTGGCTGCGCTACCCCTCGCTCCCTTTGTATGGTCTTGTCCTTTTCTGCATCTTTCTGCATGCTCTTGTCCGTTTCTGGCTGTGTTGCCTCTCACGATGATGTTGCCAACTCACGTACACAGCCACTCATGTCTATTTCTGGCTCTATGCAACTCGTTGGACACCGAGTAGATCTACGTGAGTACGGATCCAGCTCAGGCTTTTTTTGGAGAACACGCTGAAGAAGCAGCCATGCCACATGATGTATCGAAGTTCTAGTACATGTACAGTCTGTACTCGTACTGCACTGCCATGCACTGCTCTGTGTCATGCACCGGTACACAGTCCGCGGAGCATGCATGCACTTTCAGCATGCTTTTTCCAGCGTGTAGGTCTACGCATCATTTTCATGTGCAGTCATGTGCCATGTGTCGGTCAAACATGCAAATCGGCTATAGTGATGCACCGGATATAGTGATAAATTTTCGAAAATCAAAGGGGCACGTTATATCCGATATTTACTGTAATTATGGCAGAGCTCACTGACTTGTCAGTTTGAGCACTCTGGCAAGGTACGCTCGGGCCTGATTTAAATCTGGCTTTGGACAATTATATTTTCATTGCTATCAGGTTCGGCCTCATTTCCTCTGTGCTGCGCTGATGAGTTCACAAAGAACGAAACAGCATGCTGTCCGCAGATTGAGTAACTATTTTATGTGTGAATGAATAGTGAACTAGTGGAACATACCTCCTTTGTCATGTCTGCTCGCTCACTGTCGGAAATGGCTGCCCACCTAGCAACAAGGTTTACGAGCAGTGCACGCATTGGCTGCAGCACGTGAACTCTAGAGCATAACGAAAAAAAACCACAGCAGAGAGTATACCCAGTGAAGTTTTGATTGACAAGAAAGAGTTGTTTTGTTTTGTTTTAGAGTAATATTTCGTTTCCATTCCCGAAGAAATCAGGACAGCCACTTACCCCCGGAAAAACTGTCTGTGAGACTGGGTACCCTAACACCCTTCCAGCACACATACTTTAACATCACCTATCAACTCCAGTACTACAAATCACTGTGTCACAGAATGCGTATCTCAGTCTGTTTTCTGTCTTCATGTTTCGTCGATAAGGGCAGAGTCCTGGAGTGGAGAAAACTGCTGGAGAAGCTGCAGAATTGGTAATATTGATGGGTTTTCAATACTGCATTCGCCTCATATATTCATTAGAAAAGGATTTGTATTACTTCAGTATTACGGTCATAATGCTTGTGGATACAGTGTGCCAATATGTCATGCATCGATAGGACTATACTTACACCAGTGCATGAGCAGCTTGAACCATACTGTCCGCATCCTTGCTGTCCCCCAGCTTCCCACCGATATGTCCGCGCAGCTCTGTACTGTCCACCAGTTTGCGAATGGTGTCCACCTCAGATGAACGCAGTGGACAGCGGTTGTACCTAAGTCGTACAAAAGCAAGATCAATAACAGGCCCGCCGGAACCGGTCCGGTTGGTCAGACTTATTACAGGACCTACTTTTCAGCCACCGACACATGTTCTCTACTGTGGACGGCAGGCATACCCGCCATGCCATACACAAACTGTATGAACAGCCATGATACTACCGGACCAATCAAAAACTGCTTCAGATGGTCCTGAACAATTATGTTTAGAATGTACCATGTTTCACCGGCTATTTCTCTCTTTCTCTCTCTCTCTCTCTCTATCTCCATCTTTCTTTCTCTCTCTCTCTTTCTCTCTCTCTCTCTCTCTCTCTCTCTCTCTCTCTCTCTCTCTCTCTCTCTCCCTCCTTCCCTCCCTTGCTTCTTGTCTCCCAAAGACCGTGGTTGGGAAACGAGAGGTACCAGGCTTAGGTCCTGCCGCGCTGCAATCCACAGTTAAATTGGAGCTTGTGTCCTGGCACAAAGGTGACATGGATTGGGCAGATGGGGTTTGGCCTCTTTCCGGCGTATCTGGTCCATTCTCCACCACTGTTTAGGAGCTGCGTCTGATGCCTGATCCTGGGGTGGTGGCGTCCCACGGAGGTGGAAAGGTCAGCTTTGACCTGAGCTGTACTTGGATCCGTGGTCTTTTGCTCTTTTCTTTCTGCTTTTCTCTGAAGGGTACGTGTGTGTGTGTGTGTGTGTGTGTGTGTGTGTTTGTGTATGTTTGTGTGTGTGTGTGTGTGTTCATGTGACAGTTGGACACATGTGCCCTCACCTCTTTCTGGGTAGCGTGGCAAAAAAAAGGGGTTGGATGTACATGTATACGTCATGTACATGTACATGTACATGTAGGTACACACTCCGCAGTGCAGGAGGGCTCGTGAAAAGTGACGGAAAAGGGAAGGAATGAATTGTGGAGCTGTCCTTGGTGTTCATATTTGTCATTTTCGTAAAGATATACATGTACATGTACGGTCATGTACAATGTACATGTACATACCCAATGCTACCATACCCAATACGTGTACAAGTACACATGTACATGTACATGTACTTGTACATGTACACATGTACATGTACATGTACATGACCTCAGCGAGGGTGTGATCACAGGTGTAAATATTATAAGTGTTTTCACACTCACGGCTCCAGCTTCAAGTCAATACAGTATTTCATACTCACTTATCCATACACAATCACAAATCTCCACTTCTCTCCACATCTCTCCCCAGCGCTTTTCATTTGTCCTCTAGCTTTCCACGCCTAAATTCACGCCCAACCTCACACCCTTGCAGACCACATTTCTCAACAAACTTCGCTGATTACAAACACAAATCTACAATTCTGTCCATCTTCCTCTAACTCCAAGCGCTTTTTACCAGCTCCCCCCTAGGGTCCAGCGGATTCTGCCGGCAGAAACATTGGCAGAATTCGGTACTTTTCCTGGTAGGTTTCATACATGTTTGGTATGTGGATAAAGAAATGGAGCAGAATTCGAGGAATTGCCCGCCATAAGGTTTGTATGGTTCTGCCAATTTTACTGCTTTTCGAGCAGAATATGCCTCCTTTTCGAGCAGAATCCGCTGTTCCCTACGGCTGAGTCCCCCCCCCCCCCCCCCGCTTGCTTGTGCTCAGCCTTTACTGTGGTTGGTCAGCCCTTGGATGGGCTTTACTTAAAAATACTGGTCCAGGAGAAAATTAATGTCTTTCCGCAGCGAATACATCATGTGTGAATAATAATGAATGTTGAGATTGGTTAGTGGATGCATGCAACATAGTGACTAAGTCTGTTGTTTAGTGTTGTTCCTCTAATTGCTGCATTATCCGCCAAGGCCTATTGCTGGGTCTGCTTCACGCATACTGTTTATACTACATCATAACGTTTCAAAACATTGTCATCCATGGCTGTCGGCACTACTACATGTACAATGACCTTGATTATACATGTACATGTACATGTACATGTACATGTACAATGGGTTGATGCAGTGATTATGTTTGAACATTTGACCAAACCCACCTCACACGCCATTCACATACATGTACTAGTACCGGTAGTAGTAATTCAGCATGCTGTCCGCAGATTGAGTATTTTCGCTCCTGCTCAGTCTTGTAGTAGTTGAGCACTCTCATGGGGTAGTGCCTTTGCTGTTTGCATTACGCAGAGCTCACTGACTTGTCAGTTTGAGCACTCTGGCAAGGTACGTTCGGGCCTGATTAGAAATTTTTATTTTCATTGCTATCAGGTTCGGCCTCATTTCCTCTGTGCTGCGCTGATGAGTTCACAAAGAACGAAACAGCATGCTGTCCGCAGATTGAGTACTGAAGTAATGTACATTTACCTTACAAGCTTGAGCAGCGATTTTCGTGGTCCTTTCCTTTTGTTTTCGATGCCTGTTTGGTGATGAATACGGCGGGCAGGTTTTTGCTTTCACTCAGCTGTCATCATGATATCAGTTTCCTCCCCTTTGAAGAACTATCCTTTGAAGACCCCGTTTGCCCCTTCATGCATCACCTCTGCAAACCAGCGTGACGAAGCAAGAAAAGGTGCAGGGCAGCTATTTTTTCACCTACTTCGAGTGCATGACTGTACATGTACATGTATCCAGTATCCCTTGTGGAGTTGTGCCTCTGCGTTGTGTTTGATTTTTCGCGGCCCTGTGTTTGAACAATCTGGTTTTTGGGACGGTTGTACAATGGACACGTGCATGTACACGTACGTCTACTTTATTAAAAAAAAATTTAGAACACTCTGATCATGAAACCAGGGCTCGCCGTGATAAAGCAGAAGTAGATAATAGTACCTCTCCTTGCCAAGATGAGATAGAGTACACGTCTGTACCGCAGAATGCCAGAGTGGAAGTGACGCTTTTAGCTTGCTACCCTATCGGCACATGGACCACAGCCCTACAATAGGATCCATGTACATGTACATGTATCTACGCCGCTTGGACTGGCTGTTGACAGTACTTCAGTTTTTGAACAGTCATCTAATCCAGTGTTGCCGATAGGCGATAGGTAGCCGTATGTTAGGCGAACAGCGCAGACGCAGCAGCATAGCCATTGTTTGTCCGGATATTTGTGTGCGGATGCATTTTGTGGTGGTGTGTTAGTGCGGATACATGTGTGCAGATGTATTTTGTGGTGGTGGTGTGTGTGTGAGGGAGGGGGCTGAGCTCAGAAGTGAAAGAAAAGACCTACTGAGAATCCAAAAAGCATGAATTGCACCGTCTACCGTCTTCATCCATATTCTGGCACATGTGGTGAAATCGTTTCTTGCATGAAGGGCACATGTGCAGGGCGCGCTGATCACCTTCAAGGCAGATGGCGCAAACTTCTACTGACGGTGTACAGATACGCTGCTGGAGAGAGGGCGGTGGGAGCATAGGACTGGAGGTCGTGATTTGTGACGTAGCGGCAGACCCATGCAACACAGTACTCAGGGCTTGAGTCAATGAACTGGCAGCTGACTGAGAAGCCAAAAAGCATGAATTGCACCGTCTACTGTCTTCATCCAGATTCTGACACATATGTGGTGAAATCGTTTCTTGCATGAAGGGCACATGTGCAGGGCGCGCTGGTCGCCTTCAAGGCAGATGGCGCAAACTTCTACTGACGAAGCACGGATACGCTGCTGGAGAGAGGGCGGTGGGAGCATAGGACTGGAGGTCGTGACTTGTGACGTAGCGGCAGACCCAAGCAACACAGTACTCAGGGCTTGAGTCGATGAACTGGCAGCTGCTAGTGATGACTCCTGTGTTTTAGGTGGCAGTGATCCGCCATGGTATCCAGGTCATCGAGTATGCCATTCTCTGGTTGGACAGAGCCAGTTTCAATGAAGAGAGCTGGAAGTAGGTGCTTGAAATAGAAACTTTCCAGTTTGCCAAGGTAACGCTCTGCAAACTGCTCTTCACGTTTCAACCTCTGAATAAACATTTCTTGAGGAGTCCAAACAACCAAATCAGCCCACTCACACTCTGTGACAAGGAGCTGGAACTGCACCTGGAAGTGGTATTGGTGCGACTGCTTCAGGGACAGCTCTGCACCATCATGGTTCAGGAAGAAGGATTCTTCTGTGCTGCATCAGACAAGGAGACAGACCGGCAGCTGTACGGACACTTCACTTCCAGGACTCCACGGCCAGCAGTGGGATCAGACAAGATACCATCAGGAGATGTAGCTAGCCACGGGGTTTTGAGGCTGACTATTAAACCAGAACGAGCGAATGAGAAGTTGGGTGATTCAGCTTTCTTTTTCCCCAAGTACTGCTTGATAGCCAGTGGTTCACTCCTTGTACCATAGCGGGTTGCCAAGTTGCCACGGAACTCACCGCAGAGTTTCTGCCGAACCACTGACTGGAAATCATCCGTTCGACGACGGACAATGGCCTTACACATCGTGGCAGTCACCCTTTTTCGCCGCTCTTCAAACCAACGTGAGCATCCACTCTGTTCAACTGTAGCAGTCTGGATAAGCTGAGCCGGCGCTTCACCAACAACATCTACCTGGTAGAAAGCGGCTTGGCTGGTATAGTGCGGGGGAGCTGATACTGCACGGCTCATGACCTGGGGATCTGAACCACTGTCGTCGTCGTCATCGTCATCATCATCATCACCTATTTCGTCATCAGCATCGCTGCCGCTGCTCGAGCTAGACTGCAACAATGTCAGCCAAGTCGAACTACCGTAACGGCCAACCAACCCGGACGAGTCATGAGAAATGGCATCATCGTGGGCTGCAACCAGGTCATCACGAAACTTTGTCAACTCTGAAGGCGAGACGCACCACGGCACGCCAGCCACCTTTTCAACTCTGGTACGTGCAGATCCCTTGGCTTACGACCACTCAGAGAAGCACCGGGAACGTCTGCTTCGACTAAAGAGTACAGGTCCTCCATTCTTCCACCGACGACACTCGACTGGTTCAAGAAGTACAATTATGACTTTGGACAGCCATCGGTGCTCCAAATCAGTCAAAAATCGCGACTTCCACGGCTCCTGCTCATAGCCTACACAGCTTCGCCACTAATAAAGGACAACAGAGGTGTCGAAAGCTACAAAACACGGCTTCGCCAAGAGCCAAAGAACCAAATAGCCATAAAATATTCTGCAAAACCATCTAAAGTAATACAATCGCCTAATGGCCAAGATTACTCGACACCCATTAGGTTCAAATTTTTCCGTTACGCGTGCCCAATGACGTAATGCGCAAAAGGACTAACACCTCTGTCCGTGCAAGGCATCGAGCTCAGGTCAGGACAGGCGCAAGAGCTGCGCGCGGGAGTGTGCGCTTTGCCTCAGTCAGTAGATCTACCACTAGTGCACTGCCAGTGCCAGCCCCTGCCCTGGCAATACATCATACATTACATGTACCAAAGTAGAGGGGACGGCTCGATACCGGGACGTTTTGACAGCCAATATATTTGTGGAAGGAAACTGGCATGTTGAAGTTTGCTCTGGGGCCAGAGTCAATCGAACTGAGCCACTCCTTTGTGTTGACCCATTGCCTCCAAGTTGCCCAATTTTTCGCTTCAAAAAAGTTCAAATCAGAGGTGGCTCCAAACCGGACACGTTTTAGAGTGCACGTCAAATTCACTCTGGGTCTGAAATTAGGTAATTGCTATCGCTCCACGACGGCCAGTACAGAGTAACAATAAGCCTTGTGTGTGCTTCCATTAGTTTTGATTGGTATGCGGTGCTTTATTGGCGAGAGGCGAGCCGCTGTTTACCTGCGACAAGAAGTTGATTGTTCGAAAGTCGTAAAACTCAAGTCGCAGTGCGAAGCAACACGTCAAAAACACACCTGCTTGATATGGCGCTTCTGGTCATCACAGAGCCATGAAATTTTGGCTCGGAGTATAACACATCATAGTCTCACTGTGACTATGTTTTCTAATCAAAATACCAAGAGAGAAAGTGAATATTGAGTCCGTTCCGGTTTGCAACCGGTGTCCTATTTGAAACCGTCCCCTCTACCAGTCCCACTAGCACTGACTGTCACTGATGGCTGCTTGGCACCTGTACTGTGAGTGTGCCTAGACTGTGACTGTGTGACTGTGAGTGTGACAGCGACTCTGCACACCCGCACAGAAGAAGATCTGTGACTGACAGAGTCTGTGTTGCGTGGGGTATCTGCACTGCACTCTGCAGTGCAGTCAACGATACTCGATAGTCGCTGACATAAGATCCCATGTATAGTCAGTCATGCATGTACAAGTGACTGTGTGTTTGTAGATCTACAAGTCGTGTAGATCTACCCATAGTAGGTCTACTGAGGCTGTTTTGTATGTCTACCATGAAATGCATGATCCATGATCTGCAAAGCCAAAGCCAGCAAAGACTACACTGCCTACACTATGTACTATGTAGATACAGGCTACAGCCATGACTTGTACAGAACCAGAACCAGCCAGTACAGAACTGACTGACTGACAGTGCAGATGATGATGATGAGAAGTAGCACGGGGATCACTCTGCCCAGTGGCAGTGGGCTGAGCCAGCTACTTAGTTGATTGAGCTTTGGGAAGGGTCCAATGAAGTAATACAACTGTCATAGTTCGGTGTGTTAGTTGCTGAAACGCTTTGCACAGGCACAAGTGCACAAACAGCAGAGGCAAGGGATGGCTTACTCATACATGTATCTTCCCCACAGGTACACCTTCGAACAATAAATAATACATAATGAAAGTGCTAAAATAGAAATGAGGAAATAGACCGAACATAAAGGTAACAGACGAGAGAGAAGAGAGAGGAAATTCAATGTAGAGGAAATTAAGGCAGAGAAAGAGAGAGATTTTTTGGATTGGATTTGATTTTTATTTATAGTGGTGACTATAACAGACAATTGCCTAATAACAATAGACCCACTCGAGGGAAAGATGCAAAAAGATATGAATAATTAATATAATAGACTACCGGTATTGGATAGGTGATCATGTTCGCATTTTGCATAGCTGAAAGGCATAAGTACTACATGTAGCGTGAAAAAGCAAGGCATTGGGGTAATAGTTTCTTAAAACGGGCGGAGTTATCCACACAGCGAGCTAGAGGGTGTAAATCATTCCACAGCTTAGCACATTGGAAGGAAGTGCCATGACGGGCAAAGGCAGTTCTGAGCATGGGCAACTTAAGAGTGTGTGATACAAGGCTGCGCGTTGCAAGACCATTATTTAAACGCTCGAACATTTGACTTAATGTGACACTACAGCGGCCTTCCAAACAGCGCCACGTCAGATACAGTAATTTCTTGCAATACATGGATGCCAAACGATCTAGACCAAGTCTCGCAAATAAAGGACTTGATGGGCTACAAAAGCCAGTATCGTACACTGGACGCAAAGCTCGCTTTAGCATTCGTTCAAGCCTACCTAACTGGGTTAAGGAAAGGCCAGCAGAAAAACAATTTGATGCATATAGAAAATCTGGCAACACTAGGCACTTTACAAAGGTTTCTCGGCAAGTCAGCGGAATATTGTGTCGATTTCGGAACAGAATACCAATTTTACTGGCAAGTTTGGTGACCATAGAATCAACTTGAGTCCTCCAAGAAAGATCCTGGTCCAAATGTATTCCAAGGTACTTTGCACATGTCACTTGATTGAGCTGCACTCCATGACAGTAGACTGCAAATTGGTGGTCAGTAATATGTGGCGTAGACAGGAAGAGCACTTGTGTCTTCCGGGCATTTAGAATTAAATTGCGGTTTGACAGCCAGGTACTAATGGAGAGATGGGGAAAACATGTCAAAGATGACCTCAAGCCCCTGAATGTGCCGATTTAGGAATGTCTCAATCTCGCCACCAACAAGCAACTCTGGCTTTGAAAGGTTCTGGAATTCAACTGCTTTTCGCACTTTCTTCATCTTGTATTGAGATTCTAGCCGCATGGTTAGACGCGAAAGCAGAAATGCCTGTGTCTGGTGACGTGAAATAGAAACACATTAGCACACAGCAGAATTTGGCGTGTTTGGGAGCATTACTAATACATGTACATTTACATGTACATATTAGTGTACATGTGTAGTATCCCTGCCTGGCTAATAGTAATACGGAAGTAATACGGAACTTTACCTGATGTACATGTACATGTATATTCGCCTACCACACGGCTACCTGTTACACATGTACACTGTCGCGAGAAGGTGCTCTCTGTAGACGGGGTTGGTGATGTCATGGTGATGACAAAAAACTGTTGACAGCTGATACGGTGAGAGAAGGACGCGATATCCATGGGCAGAAGTTGGAAGAAAAAAGAAAAAGAAAAGAAGTTTTTATAGAAGAAAAGAGCGAAGAAAACAAGACGACATCAGGAGTACTCAGTAGTCTCCTAACACTAACAGGCTAACACCCTAGCATAATGAGGGTCAGAACTGGGTGCGATACCCATATGGTTCAAATGGTCCGCAGGGACCGGGGCTCTGCAACCGCGGAAGGTTGCAGTAAGGTCACTGTTTCCGAACACAGTACAGTGTCCTCCACCTTGTTTCATGCTGTCAATTTCTAACAATTGCGCGAACTATAAGGTTTATCTGCTTTTTAACCAGTATTAGGTTATAATCATGTACATGTACATGTACATGTACATGTACAATGTACAATGTACATGTATATGTAGTGTACATGTGTCATAGGTCGCCGAGTGGTATCAGGAGGCACACACAAGAAGACTGACTAATATTACATGTATGTTATTCGGCTCAATCTGCCTGAAGTTATGTATACAACTGCTCCGGCTCAATCTGCCTGGAGGGACTCGGAAAGGAATACAACTGCTCCGGCTCAATCTGCCAGGAGGGACTATGTTCTGTTCTGTTCTGTTATGTTATGAAGAAATGAGTAAAGCATGGCAGCTTTTATAGGGCGAAAAGGAAGGAGATCATCATAGAGTCTGCATGAGCCATGAGTCATGATAAAGGGCAAAAGTCTGTTGTGTTAGTCCAAACAGAACTTGGGAAGGCATAGCAACAGTATCTAAATGTATAAGGATGAAAGAAGCAAACGGATCTTTGGAGGAGAACAGAGGCCAGGGAGGGCATTGGCAAATGGATGCAAACAGGATCTAGAAAGGGTCATGACTGTCCTCATGACCTCAGTCAGGGTCAGGGAGGTACTGTACAACATGTGGGTGTTAGTTCTACATGTACATACAGGTGTGATGATCTAAACTAGCAAAGATACATCCAGCAAGCGCAAGAGAAACACAAGTAGTGAGAAGTGATTTAATTAGCTTTGCAGGCTTGTCAGCAAAGGAGTGACAAGACTGTCATGCAGTGCGTGTACGTGTACATGTGACATGATTAGAGGTCAGTAGATATACATGTAGTACTAGTAGTCAGCTACAGTTCAGTACGAGTACTAGCAAGGCAGGGGTACTACACATGTACTCATGCTCTTTTCAGTTTTGTTGACATGATTTGACTGCTTTCACCCTGAATTACATGTATTTGAAACGTTCGAGTTGAGGTGCCCTGATCATGAATATACGCCTACACGTACAGTGTACGTACATCTACTACAGTGTACTTATAGGAAATGTTCACGAGGGATGCACCTAGCGTGCAAAGAGTGCTCCAAAACGCGTGGTGGCAGAGCGTAGAAGAGTCTAAAAACACTAGTACCAGTAGTTACACTAACAGCCGACGGAAAGGCTCTATGGTTATAACCCACAGTTTCATGCACAACCCTCTGCAACCATCAGATGATTGCAGGGTTGTGGATGAAACTCCGAGTTACAACCACAGAGCCTTTCTGTTGGACTGTTGTGTACGCAACTTCACAAGTACAATCAGTTATGTTCTGGTACTGGTAGGCTGTGCACTCGAACGTCTCTTTCTCTTGAGACACGATCTACGAGCGCGCGATGCAGGCATCGTGTCTGGCATCATTGAACCTAATGACCCCAGCCGTGGAAGGGACGTTGCCAGCCGCGCATTCCACTCCAGTATGTGCACCCTGTTTCCCGCTGACCTCTAGGATGTGCTAGCTGACACGGGTGATCGTCAGCTTCACTGGTTTTATTTCCTGCGCCCGCCATCAGGTCGCAGAGGCAGCATGGCAACACATCCCGGTGAAGATTTCCTTCGCAGAGACCATCAACCTGAAAGCGAAGCGACGAAACAGCAACAGACTCATCAACATCAAATCATATGCGCCTGCCCCGAACTGTCGCTGACTTTGTCTGCTGGCATCAGACGCAACACCGCAAGGGACATCCTAGCACCTCTGCTAGGCTGAAGACGTCCCTCATGCACTCGGCACACACGACGTGAAAATTAATGATGTGAAGCAACACAGTCGACACACACAGTGCCACACGCATCCTACCTCACTCAGATCATATTCACTGACTGTCGTCTCGAATGATATGTAGGGTCTGCAACAAGAAACCTGAACCTAGTTCGTGACTGTGCAAGAAAGGAGAGTTGAACGCTGCAGTGCAGTGTTGGATTGTGTGTGATGCAGACCCAGAGATCTGAAAACTCCGAACATTTTTAGGAACCATTGCGCATACTTACTGAACCACCTGTGAGTGTGATTTCTCGAAACGAAAAGACGTCTTCACTACATGGGGATCTGCTGGTAGGACATTTGTCGTGTTCAACTCAAAGGCACATTTTTACAACTTGGTGCAGCCAACATTGTAAACGGGACGATCTGAGTCTACCGCAAGCCTTCTTGACCAGCGGTCGTCCAAAAACGATCGTCCCGACCTGCGATCTGCTCACGTCGTTATACACCCTGAATTGACAGCATGGCAATGGATGGCGCTGGAGGCGCGGGTATGTTTCGCTGGCTTCCCGATTCTGGACCCGACCGACCCATTCCGCACACGGGTCTTGTGGACGGGATATTCCGTAACACCCAGTCCATTGAGCGCAATGTAAGTTGATCTACATCTTAGCATTAATTTTATACTCAGTCCTCGTTCAATGTACGAATCACGGAGTACATGTATGTCTAACCGGAAAACATACACAGAAAAGAAAGGTGAACCCTCACAACAGGTCCTCCCTCATTCCAGAATTCCAACACGTGCCCCCCCCCATAAAAGTAATAAATACATAAAAAAAACTTTCACAACAATGAAACTGTTGATTGACAATCACAGTCTTAGCGACCAAGCATCACCTCCTATGGCGAAGGTCCCTGGTTCACATCCACATGGTATCAGTCAATTTTGTTCTTGGGTCTTTCTTCCTTTTGAACTACAACTGTCGTACCTGAAGCGAATGAATGTGTCTAACTGTTAAAGTGTAATTGCTTTTCTGCATGTGTTCTGTTTCTGTTTGAAGCCACCATTTACCTTACAATACCTCCTGGCCCAGGAGCAGAAGTTGGCAGAACGAAGCGCTGGCGGCATATATCGGCTTGGTAGATGTACTCAGATGGTAGTTGTCAGTGATCATGGACTGCTGAAGGAGCTACTGACCCTGCCGTACCCATCCTCTACTGTAAGTTTCCTGCGTGGAACAGCCACCTGTTGCAATGATGCAATTTATCGTTCTGTTGAGCTTAGAGCGTAGAACATTCCCATTAGAGCTTTTTCAAGGACGCGGTGCCGTCCCCCGCAAGAGGCGCTCATCCCGAGATGTGGTGAACAGTTCGCATGTGAAAACGCAGTGAAAAGTACAAATATGTCCCAGGTTCATCTCCATCAGCGCTTGGAGCAATTCTGAGGCTTGTTCTTTTTCTCCCTAGACATAGACATGGAAGGGCTTCCGGGCAGCTGCTCTAACTCAACACGAATGTCAGACATGAAATTGAGCGCCATCCTAGTGCTTTTTTCACCTCCACGTGTCCATTCCCATACAAACTGAACGCTAGTTGGACTTCATCTGTTCAACTGCAATCCACAAATTTCTCGCGCATGATTCCGAAACGTGACCATTGGTCTCACCTTCAAAAAGCTCTGTGCATAGCTGTTGCAAGTTTGAAAAATGGGTCAACTCTTTGCTTCCTCTACTTACTCCCCTCCCACCCCTACCCCCACATATGTTTTTAGCAAGAGCCCTTCTAAAAACTCAGCACAACTTAGAAATTTCATGAAAAGTTCGTTTTCCCAGCTAAGGTATAACCCGTACCTGATGATGCTCGCCTGTTTGAAAATTTGAAGAAATTAGTTTTGCATAGTGCAGGCAGGCACAGTGGGTTGGTCAAAGACCATGATTGAAAAACGAGAGGTACCTGGTTCAAGTCCTGCCTGGGAGCGGTTTTTCCATCCGTGCTGCTACCCACAGTGAACTGGGAACTTGGATACATGGATGCGGCTAATGGGATTTCTTCTTGGCACTCGTGCCAGTGGTTGTGAGACTTATCCCATCGCTTTATAAGTTGCTAATCCCTTCCCACTTTGTGTGCGTGCTCTTCATTTTCTTTTTTCTCTTCTTCCGTGGTTGATCTCATCCTCTCCTCAATTCAATTGGCTGTCTTGACATGCCACGAGGTGCAGAAATAAATAAATAAATAAACGAGAGAGCTTGGAAGCTCAGGGCCCTACGCTATGCTTTTTTGCCTTGATGACCTAGACACAAAAAAAGCTTACGGATGTTATAAATTCATATAAAATTTTCATAACCTGGGATTCGAACACGCACTATCGCCCTGCATGCATCCCCCGATACACTTCGCATACATACTACTTCTTCCAAGTTGCTTCACGTTATGATCTTGCATTTGAAAGCCCTATTTGAATGTGCATTGTGGCCAGCCGTCTTTGATGACACAGTACGGTATGGGACAGGTACGGGACAGGTACGGGACAGGTACGGTCGAGGGTAATACGACACCGTCTACCGCCTTGATGACCTAGGCAAAAAAAGCATAGGGATGTTATAAATTTTTCAATTCTCCTATTTTTTTAGGCATAACCTGGGATTCGAACCCGCACTATCGCCCTACATGCATTCCCCCATACACTTCGCATTCATACTCATTCTTCCAAGTTGCTTCACGTTATGATCTTGCGTTTGAAAGCCCTATTTGAATATTGCGGCCAGCTGTGTTTGATGGTACGGTACGGTACGGGACAGATACGGGATAGCGCCAGGCTTGACACAAACACACAAACACACAAACAAACACCAAATTAAAGCTGTGTGGACCCTGGCTAGCGCCAGACGTTACTGAAGTAACGTCTTCTGCATAGCTACGGGAATAAATAATCCCCTTGACCCCACCGTTAGGCGCTCCATCTACCACTAGGGTTTACCGGGTGTTAGCGGCCGTCGCGAGTTCCCTCCGGGAACGGACACGATAATTTACTTTTTTCTTATAGTGTAGGCAAAGACTGTTTGTATGCTACGGGTGGGGCAATAGATGACAAGGCTACATACAGTGGAGTATACAAATATTACACAGCAATGAATCAAACAAGTCTCATTCCGCTGTTACTCCGAGTTTCGTGTCAGAACGCTTCATCAGACAGCATATGACCAAGACTAACAATCACTAGAATATATATACGGAGAAGGGGAGAAGGGGGCAAAGGTGATGGAGGTACATTTCAGTAGCGCGAGAAAAAGGGATGACAAAATCAGCGTGATTATAAGAGGAAAAAGATGTTGAGAGTATAGAGCATAGCCAGGGTAGAGAAACAGCGCGATTTTCTGGCAACACATCAGTACAGATTTGTGCTGCATTGTTACACATCAAATTGTGACCTAGGGTGGTAAAAATGTTGATGGGAATTGTGTTGTGGGAATCACTCACGCCAGGCAAGGGGGTGACTACCACACCCGCCAAGGCATCGGAAAACCGGCGACAGAAGCCAAGATCCGCCAAAGCGCGTGAGCCATGAGCCCTGGGGAGTGCTCACCATTCCCGCGCCCCGCGGAACCCAGCCCTTGTTGGCGTGACGACATTTGGAGATTAACTCGCTCCTCTTATTCAGGCGGGTGCTCCTGTCGGCGGTGATGATGCGGAATTTCTCCGTCACGCATAGGTTGCACCGTTTGCTTACGTTGCTGTACCCTTTAGCTTGCTCAGCAATCCTCCACTTGATGGTGACCAGTGCGTTCGTCTCTTTTAGCCGCCATACATGCTTGGACAGCTCCGTGTTGTTCCTCCTTGACTCGATGTTCATGTCCGATTTGTGGTTATAGTGTCGTTTCTTAAAGGGGAAGTCCGGTGAAAAATTTAAATTTCAGGGTCGGTAGAGTTTCGGGCGCTGAGTCGAATGGTGTTGGTCCCACGTGTCTCCGACAAAGCGTTCTCGAGATATTTCCGTTTGAAAAACTGAGTTTCGGGGGCTGCGCCATGACGTCATGCGGCCGCGCCACACCCTCTGCAACGTCATAGCGTGCAGCTAGGTCAAAAGGAGTGCGTGTCAGTGCTATTTCAAATGATTTGGCGACTGATAGTTTGGTGCAAGCGACCCCGAAGACCTGTAACTCCTTGTGAGAGTGAGGATGCAGCCATGGCTGACCTTCATGAGTTCGGTCTGGGGCTGAGAACCTCGGTATTCAGCTGAAGAAATGGCCACGCGGGCTGGTCAAGAGTGAGCGCTACTGAGTTTCCGACTGATGAAGAAGCAGCAGCTATTGCAGACGAGGCTGATCAGATCGCTGGAGAGCAGGGTCGCCAAAATGGAGAAGAGTGATGCGAGTGCTCTAAATGTTGTTCCATACCGATTTTCGCTTAGACTCCAGTAGCCTGCCACATGGTGATGTTTTGGTGCGAACTAATTACTTGGAATATTTCGGACTACTCAATTGGAGAACAGTGCAGGCTCTTTGAACCACGGGCACGACTCTTCGCTCGCAACGCTATGGAATCTGAAAGTTCTAGGTCCGGGAGCTGTTCGCTGTTTTGTCACTTGTCACGGTTGTGCACTCATCGCTGTAACATAAAAATAATGAGGCGGGTGCGGAAAGCTAAAATTTTCTTTCTCAAAGCACAACCACCGGCACTGCAAGGAGAAACGCACGTTCTTTGACTGCATGACTGTACTGATACGAGTGTAGTACATGACAAGTCCGTGTGTTGACTAGTTTTCTGAGTCTTGTGTCAGTTGTGACTCGAGTCTTGTACCCCAGCACGGCAGTGCGGGAGTAGTTCCGTCTGTGATGAGTTTGTTGACTGCATGCACTACAGCTAGATAACACACTGCATGCACGCAGCGCGCGTAGAGGCTGACGGAAAAGTCCAACTCGGAAACGGCTATAATACGGTATAACCTCCAGGTTTACCGAGCTGAAAATCACAGAGTACGTAGTGTTTTTAACACTGAATCGAATGGTCTTGGTCCGAAGAAGCTGCGACAAACGGTTCCCCAATCGAACGCGCTCCGAATATGGCCATTTTTGTACACAACTAGATGGTGTGGCTACCTGGCTGCACGCTGTGACGTCATCACCTGGATCTGGGTGATGCGCGCGCAAATTCGCACATGTTCGATTGGGCGTATCTGACGAACCATAAGCCGCAGCCTCCTCGGACAAAGACCATTCGACTCAGCGACCCGAACTCTACGGACTGTGAAATTTAAATTTTTCACCGGACTTCCCCTTTAAATGGTGGCTCAGTTGATCCAATGTACACCTTCTGTTCGTTTTCTTTCCCCACGTGCGCTTCATAAACGACCTCTTGCGCTTGGCATCGGCCGTTCAGCGGGCACTCCGGTTGAGCTCGGCAGTTGCATGGCTTTTCGATGCGTTTCGGCTCAAGTAGCATCTTGTTGTGCCCGTTTATCACTGCGGCTACGTTGGGCATACAACTGTAGCTGACCTTGACGTTATTTTTGTTGAATATTTTTTGCAGCTTTGAATTCGCAGGGAAGTGCTTCTGCACCAATCGCAAGAATGTGGCCGCCACATTCGTGCTCACATTCTTGCTGAAAGGCGGGTTGAACCATATCACTTTCCTCCGACGATTCTTTCTGTTCCTTCCTGTAGCACGTGTCGCCTTCTCCTGGTATTCAATCGTTGAAGTGAATCCACAGTGGAGTATAAATAAATTTAAAAAAAGTTCTACAAATGAAATTCGTCACAAGCGATAATACAACCAAAGAAGTATACAGCCGAAGAACTAGCCCACTAGATCACTCAATCATGACTGTGTTCTTTACTTTTAAGCGATGCTCGCAGAATCCTTGGGCACCTGAACAAGAATGGAGATGATTTGTTCATGTATTTGAACTTCACTTTTGGAAAACCACCATTGGTACATTATAGGCTGTCCGGTCTCACACATACATGCACTCATGAGCTCATAATACTTCTTCCGTTGACAAAAACTTCGTGATGGATGTTTGAGAGACTGGTTTGCGCACAAACTGCCATGAACTGAGCCGCGATCACTTTCTCGGCCTTCCCTGGCATGCCATAAAAGAAGTACCATGCAAAGAAAGCGACATTTCTCGACAAGCACAGCGGAATTGATGGTTGCGCCGTGGCAACATAGGTGATGACAGTCATGGTGAGCGAAGCTGAATTAACACTTCTCCAAGGGGATAATGCGCTGCATGCTTGGCCTCTCTACTACTCTAGCCCTGAGTTTGAGAGTGATAGAGAGCGATGGAACGGAGCAGCGAGCCTACACAATGAGCGTGTGAACAAGCAGCTGCTCCGATCGCAGGGCGCAATGAAATAATTCTGAATTCAAGTTCTTGTTCAACCTGCGCAAAGCCCAGATTCGAATGCTGATGACCATGCTTTCTTCCAGAAGTCTGCAGTCCGACGCGAGTCTCGTGGCTAAGGAAGGTCGACTGGACTTGCTAGCCGCTGCCGTTCAGTGCTGGCAGGGCCTGGGGTATCCATCAGGGAACTTGGAATCAGTTCGGCTGTGCCTTTACTCCAGCGTTTCGCGGAGTTTTGGAGAGTGGAGATGAAACCAGTAGTCGTAAAAGATTTTTACATTTTGCGACTCCCTGGTGGAAACGAGTACACACAGTCTCTCTCGCTCGCGCTCTCTCTAACTCTCTATCTCTCTCTCTCTCTCTCTCTCTCTCTCTCTCTCTCTCTCTCTCTAAGTCAATGTTTATGCAAGTAACTTGCAGTGGTAGAACAGAAAATATATTTATATTTCTTTGGCTTGTGAACTCATATGCTCTTCAGGTTGTCAAGACCACCGACTTCAACATGTCCTCTCAACAGTGGAATGCCCGAGTTCTGGCCGAGAGCAGTCAACTACCGCCATGCCAATTCCTCAACGGACTACACCATCGGGTCATGAAGGAAGAGCTCCAGAGTGCACTGAAGCTGTCCACTGAAGCTGAACAGGACAAGAACCTGGAAGCAGCCATGACAGCAATACGCGAGGTCTTCCAAAGCGATCTGGCAGGTTGGTGATCCTCAAATTTGGCGTGGACTTGCATGGGCGTAGCTAGCTGATCTTTCCTGTGGTAACCCTATACTAGAGTATAATCATATTGTGTGGTGACCATGTACCTTATGGTTGCCAGCTTTACCCTTTCACTATGTTCAGTCAACTTCGCTAATAACGACTGCGGGTATAACGACACTTCGCGAATAACGACAGAATTTCCATGCCCACCGCAAAGTCCCATCTAACTGTAATGCATATACAGGTCCTCCCTCATTATAACGAGTCCGGTTAGTACATACACCCCGTTAGTAAATAGAAATCTGAAATCCCCTGGCGAAACGTGGTCTATACAACTGTTTACAGGTCCGGTTACAAAATAATCCATTAGTACATAAAATCCGTTATAACGACCCTTTGCCCAGGTCCCTGGAGTGCCAAACCCTCAGTATAAGATAATATTGACCATGCAGGACCAAGGGCAAAACACGTAGGATAAAGCAGAAAGAGGAAACGTATTATGTCTATGTATTCGCGAATATGGACGATCCTTTTCATCCAAGGAAGAGTTATGTTGGAGATTTTCAATTATCTTATGACGAGTTGAAGCATCGATAATTTATGTTGTATCGAGGGTAGCCTTGGTAAGTACGAAGCAGTGCCTATTTCACCTTTAGCTGCAAGTCCTGCTACAAGATAAGTCTCGTTATAAGATAACTTTTTCGATGGCCCAGAGATTATCTACTAACGAGGGAGGACCTGTAATGAGACTTCAGATGTAAGGACACTTTGCGAATAAGGACACTTTTCTGATGCCCCGCCGAGTGTCGTTATAGGCAAAGTTGACTGTAGTTCCCATGCCAGCCATTTGCAGGTGTGGTGACCATAGATGCAGCTAATGAGTTTCTCCCCCTTGTCGGCCATTGGTTATGAGCTTAACCACCTCACCCTTGCCGTTAGGCGTTGCATCTGCCACCCTGGTATCACAGGCATGGTGGTGGCCTGGCACAAGCGAAACTTCCTAAGCTGGTTGTGTTTCTCAATACAATTGTATAGCCGGTTGTAATGTGGACTTTTTAACTTTACTTTTTTGCATATTTTCCTCATGATGCCTCTGCCTGTTCGTCGTTATGATATCTTAGGTAAGCCGCTAAAGGACGTCATATTCACCGTCTCTCTTGGCATCTTGAAGAAGCTCTATGTAGAGGATGGTGCGAGTAACCTTGATGATGTCACAGCGGAACTGTGCGATAAGTTTAGCTTTAGCGCCACACTGCTGAGAAAGAGGTGAGGGCACATGTGTGCAACTGTTACGTGAACACACACACACACACACACACACACACACACACAGACACAGACACACAAGCACACACAGACACAGACACACACACACTTTAGACAAAAGCAGAAAGAAAAGAGAAAAAGACCACGGATCCAAGTACAGCTCAGGTCAAGGCTGACCTTTCCACTTCCGTGGGACGCCACCACCCCAGAATCAGGCGTCACACGCAGCTCCTAAACAGTGGTGGAGAATGGACCAGATACACGGAAAAGAGGCCAAACCCCATTTGCCCAATCCATGTTACCCTTGTGCCAGGACACAAGTTCCGATTTCACGGTGGATTGCAGCACGGCAGGACCTAAACCTGGCACCTCTCGTTTCCCAATCATGGTCTATGGGAGGCAGGGAGCGAGGGAGGAAGGGAGAGAGAGAGAGAGAGAGAGAGAGAGAGAAAGATAGAGAGAGAAAGAGAGAGACAGCCGGGGAAGTATGGTACATTCTAGTCGTACTTATTTCGGACCGCCGGATTCAGTTTTTGATTGGACCGGTAGTATCATGGCTGTTCATACAGTTTGTATATGATATTATGTCAGGTAAAACTACTCCTTCACAGTAGATACCATTATGTTGGTGGCTGAAAAGTAGGTCCTGTAATAAGTCTGACCAACCGGACCGGTTCCGGCGGGCCTGTTATTGATCTTGCTTTTGTACGGCCTAGGTACAACCGCTGTCCACTGCGTTCATGTGAGGTGGACACCATTCGCAAACTGGTGGACAGCACAGAGCTGCGCGGACATATCGGTGGGAAGCTGGGGGACAGCAAGGATGCGGACAGTATGGTTCAAGCTGCTCATGCACTGGTGTAAGTAAAGTCATATCACTCCTGTGCACATCACGGTAACCAGTTCCGTGTCCTGTAAGATTCATAGTCCAGTCAACTTTGCGTATAACGACACTCGGCGGGGCATCAGGAAAGTGTCCTTATTCGCGAAGCGTCGTTTTACCCGAAATTTCTTTATATGACTGTATTCAGTTCGATGGGACTTTGCTCTGGCCATGGACATGCTGTCGCTATTCGCGAATTGTCGTTATACCCGTAGTCGTTATTCGTGACTATATGTATTCTTTGATGTACAGGTTATCAGTTGTCTGAGGATTGCCTCAGCTTTGCTATGTGCATGAAACGCAGCATTACAGCAATGACCTAGCCGGCTGTCTCTGTTCTCTTTTGCCTTTTGTGGTAATGCTCCACCCTCGTGGTGTTGAGCACTCTAGGCAATTCGGGAATTCTCGCTATTGTAGTCTGTACCTTAGATCAGTGCCTGTCCTTTGCATAAGCCGGTGTCTAGGACGGTATAGCCAATGACTTGACTGATGTATTTGTTTATGAGTCATGTTTCAAAACAATGCACGACATGTCGGCATGCCGTATCCACGAGCATTATGACCGTAGTTATACAATTCCTTTTCTAATCAATATAATTATTATATGAGGCGAATACAGGATTGAAAACCCATCAATAATACCAGTTCTGCAGCTTCTCCAGCAGTATTCTCCACTCCAGAACTCTGCCCTTACCGACAAAGCCTGAAGACGGAAAACAGACTGCGATACGCATTCTGTGAAACAGTGAATTGTAGTACTGGAGTTGATAGGTGATGTGACAGTTTGTGTGCTGGAAGGGTGTTAAGGTACCCAGTCTCACTGTCAGCTATTCCGGGGTAGGTGGCTGTCCTGATTTCCTCGGGAGCGGAGACGAAATATTACTCTAAAGCAAAACGAAAATGCCCTTTCCTGTCTATGAAAACTTCTTTCGGTGTACTCTCTGCTGTCGTATTCTCGTTATGCTGTAGAGTTCACGTGCTGCAGCCAATGCGTGCCCTGCTCGTAAACCTTGTTGCTAGGTGGGCAGCCATCTCCGACAGTGAGCGAGCCGACATGACAAAGGAGGTATGTTCCACTAGTTCACTATTCATTCGCGCATGAAATAATTACTCAATCTGCGGACAGCATGCTGTTTCGTTCTTTGTGAACTCATCAGCGCAGCACAGAGGAAATGAGGCCGAACATGATAGCAATGAAAATAAAATTGTCCAAAGCCAGATTTAAATCAGGCCCGAACGTACCTTGCCAGAGTGCTCAAACTGACAAGTCAGTGAGCTCTGCGATAATTATATGGTCTACTGATGTAGATTTAGACCGGGCTGGGTGCTTCACGGAATCACGGACCAAGCTGTTGCTCTTATGAAGTACGGGTAGAGTCATGCATGTGAATGAGATCATTGTGTACTGTAAACTGTATACTGTGTGCAGTAGTATACCAGGGCTCATATACAATGTACCGGTACATGTGCTCATGTATATATGTACTCATATAATATATACATGTGCTCATGTATAATTATGTACTCATGGTTACCTGCGTTCATGTATATACATGTACATGATTGTATGTACTCATGCATACCTGTGTTCATGTATATAATTATGTACTCATGGTTACCAGTGCTATACCTGTGTTCATGTATACCAGTACTCATGTAGATTAGACTGTATTTACAGCCATTTATCTCCTTTCTTCCTGTTGTTCAATTACTGGCCGGCGTGTATTTACCGCCATACTGCCAGGTGCGTGTTTACCACCATAATTATGGATAAAGTTTCAGGACGCATGCATACCAGGGCAGTACTCGTGTTTACCTGTGTGCATGATGCCGGTCAATAGAAACATCTCAAGTAGTTAATGACCTGCAATCGCATACTCTCTATTATGCTTATGAGCACACTTGCAGTCCCGGACGTGTAAAGAATGTGCAGAAATCGAATATTTTGACGTGCATGCACTTGTAGCACTTAGCTTTGGTCACAACGATTATTATCTCTGGTATTTAGCAGAGCACCATTCGATTACCATGGTATCCATAGCAAGCCTGCCTGATTTGAGCAGGTTGTACGCCTAAAAGGTATTGAACCAGGTTAATGCAATGCAGGGAACCTGATAGTGAAGGTAACGGCATGAGAAGGAATGAAGGCGTGATGATCACCATTGTTGGGAAGGCAATCTTCCTGGGACAGTACTCTGGTCCCCTTTTGTGTGTTTGTGTGTGTGTGTGGGGGGGGGGGGGGGTGCATGGGCACATACGTGTAGGATGTCTGGTGCATGTCATTCGTGGCCATTATGTGCATGCTGAACCTAGGTCGAAATTGTTTTTTTTGGGGGGTGGGGGGGGGGGGGGGGGGCGCACACCTCCCCCCCCCCCCCCGTGCCCCTTGTGTTAGACATTCCAACTCAATCGTAAGAGAATTTTTTGATGAGCTTGTAAAATTGTTCAAGTGCGTTTCAAGATCATCTGAATGTCTATTCCATTGCTCTATTGGCTATCCTCGGCTGTTTCTTTGTCGATGGCTCAGGTATCCTACACGTTCAGCCAGGATGCATTCTGTCCGGTTTCGCTGGATGGCCTCACGTCTGTCGAAGCATTTGTATGCGAGGTGCTACGTATGCATCCACCCAGGGAACTTTTCTACTGGAGAACCAAGTAAGGGGTTGTCCGTAAATAACAAACCTTTTTCACCAAACGAATTATTTTAGTTTCGACCCAACCCCTCCCTCCCTCCCCTTCAGAACGTAAAAAATGTTGACATACATGCATATACAACGGCCATGTACATGAATCAATGTTTTCTGAAACGAAATTGGTCAACCCCCTCCCACCCCATAACGAAATTATCTCGTTTTGTGAAAAAAGTTCGATATTTATGGACGACCCCTAAGATAAACTAGATCTCTTTTGAGTTGGCCGTAGGAGCGTTATCCAATGCAGGCTGGTTTTGGTATTTGTTGAGATAGCAAGAACAAACTCCGGACTTCTCAGCCTGCCTAGTCACATGACTGGATCATGTTTCAAGGTAGCTGTGAATGCAGAGTCAGATCCCTTCAAGTTTTTGCCTAGCTTTCAAATATTTTGTTTCTATCCTCCTTTTCTCCATAAACTATCTGCATGGCCGAGTGAATGGCTGCGAGGTTGCCTGCGAATCACAACAACAAGGTCTCAAGTTGGAGACCCGAGCCGGCAGCAGGGAGTGTGTACTGTGTTGATAAATGCAGTGACGCAAGCATGACCCATTTAAGATGCAATGAGCTGCGCTGCCCCCCCCCCCCCTTCGGTCAACGGAGTACTCACTACTCCAAGTGAGGTCACCATGGATCACCATGGTCACTATGGACTCAGCCAATGAGGTTTTGCCCCATCGTCGGTTACTGGTTGTTAGACCTATCGCCTTACCCTCTCTAGAGTAGAATCTTCCGCAAAGGTTAATGAGAGATGCTTTTGTGTGCAGTCTTAAGCCGAACATGTAAGCAAGTTCAAACTTTGAATACGTTTTCCACTTTTCAATCGAGTGCAGCTAAACACCCGTTTCACGTGCGCCACGCCAATTACTTGTAACTGTAAAGTGTGTTTTTTTGTTTTGTTTTGAAGATGTGCGCTAGGTCTTTCCCTGGCTCCCAATGACCGCTACAAGATAAGTGCAGACACGGAGCTTGTTGGCAACATCTACACAGCCCAGCGAAAAGAGAGTGTCTTTGCTGTCGGGGACATGAAAGCTGAAGATTTCAACCACCAGCGATTTCTGCAGCGCCCTGTGAGTACTATAATGATGCCGCTATGCTACCAAGAATAGACGACGGCTGATATTCAAGTGGAAGGGATCGTAATGTAACATGTTTTTGGTCCAAACGCCCCCCCCCCCCTCCCCCTCCATCCTAGTCATATTGTAAGTCCACATATTTTGGGCATACAGTCAACTTCGCTTATAACGACACTCGGCGGGGCATCAGAAAACTGTCCTTATTCGCGAAGTGTCGTTATACCCGAAGTCTCACTGTATGTGTCACAGTTGGATGGGACTTTGCTCTGGGCATGAAAATTATGTCGTTATTCGCGAATTGTCGTTATATCCGTAGTCGTTATTAGCGAAGTTGACTGTATATAGATTTTGGCCTCCCAGAGTAAAAGCACATTCCGGCCGCATTAATATTGCGGCCTGTGCCGTTGCTGCCTGTATTCACTATTACGACAAATCTCCGGCCAAAAATGCCCAGGCCGAAATAGCCGAAAAAAGATATGCGAAGAACGAAATATGCGCCGAATATTTTTGGAGACTTACAGTAACTTAGTGAGCTCTGATATCCAAATGGGACTCCACCAAATCGATTACGAACTGCTCCATGCCTGGCCGGTGCAATGAAGAACCTGTGAATGTGGGTCCTACAAGTGCTGCACAGGTACAGGTAGGTGTAAGGCAGTCGAGTGCCTCAACCAAACATTTCTCATGCCAATATTCTAATTTTTTTTACATACGATTTCTGCTTGGATGTGCTCCATTGCAAGATCACATGCAGCAAGTGTAGTACTGAGTAACATTTCTGTTTGTATTGGTTGGCAGGATCTGAAAGAGCAGCTGCTGTGGAGTCATGGACTATCTAGCCATTCACCACAGCTGGATACACACCAGTGCCCGGCCAAGGTAAGTTCCACGAGTGCAGGCCAAAGATCGATGAATTTTGTAATATCGCTGCGTGCAGGGGAAACGTTTTACAGTACACACGGCGATGGTTACACGATAATTATGGATAATGCCTTGAACGGAGTCCTTTGCTTTCTGACAGGCAATGCAATGCATTTCCTGTACACCACAATCATGTATTCAAATCAGTCTTTACTTCTATCGAGTAACAACGTTTGTGCAGAAGACTCCTGCACAGAACCATTATTCAGGTATGAAGTTCTATGTACGCAGGTCCCAGGACTACTCAGACACAACCTTCAGAGCTTCTCGACAAGTAGGTCCACAAATTGGTTTAGCCGGAGAGACTCCCAAGATAGGTAGCCATTAACTTCTGGAGAATCCGTAAAACACAACAACAATACAATACAATAATTCCACTCAGGCCCCTCCATCTAAAATCTCCGGCAGGGCGTGTCAGAAGATGGCGTTTGATTGCTCTCCTAAACGGGGAGGTTTCCATGCGTTCCAAGCTAGTACTATGTGCAGGATTGTTTACTCCTTTTCCGCGGGGAAACTGAGAAAACTGTCATCTAAATCCATTCTTATTCCTGTTTCTGTCCAGGACTTGGTACTCAGCATTTCCAAGCTATTCGTATCTCTGATGACCGGGTACGAGGTTACTCTGAGTGAACTGCCAAACTGGACCAGGTAAGATTCTCTCTGTCCTTCCTCTCTGCGTAATCTATTCTGCCATGGTTGGCTCTCACCACACCTGCCCACATGTCAGTAGCCTGCCGGTTTTTGAGGCAAGTCAATGGCCTATTGACTCTTGGACCGTCCAACGGGCGACACCCCCTGAAATCCCCAACCTCTGGGTGGACTTGGAGACAAACCCACACATGCACGCATACCTATGTTCTCCCCACCCATCGGCGTCTTTGGTGTGGGTGCTGACTTACATAGCAGAGATTCTTGAGAGTTAAATCGATCTCATGTACGACCTGCTTTACATTCTATGGTACATGATCAGTGGGGGCTTAAGGTGTGACGGGAAAGAACAGGACACTGGCGACTGCATCGAACGGGTATCAAGAATCCACCCATGCTGCCATACAAATCAGGATGAGATGGAAGATGTGTATTTGTTCACGCGTTCTTTAATATAGCATGTACAGACACAACAAGCTGCATAAAGAATGTTTGAATGTCAAGTCTTATCATGCATCACAGTACTGTCGGTCGCCGAAGAACTGGGGGGGGGGGGGGGGGGCAGCCTTCTAGCTAGGGACCATTTGTGATTCCTATTTTCATGTACTACAGTCTATGCACAGTTGAGTCACCGTGTATACATTGGTATACTGTGCTTGGTGAAATTCTAGCCTGGCCGTTCTTCAGCACTGGAATAGGGGGAGAGAGTTGGTGGAGGGAAGAAGGGGAGAACAGGACAACGTTTTTAGGCATGGCGCAGAATACAGAAGTTCAAAACGTATACATAATAATAGTGGTATATACAATCCAGTCATTGTGTTGGCTAATTTGGTATTGGCCTGCATATTTCCATGTTTTCGTAGCGAGAGCTGGCAACCGGGCTGTCTACCGATGCAGGAAGGACTGTCAATCACTACTTGGTCTGCACGAGAGCCTATAGATGCCGAAGCAACAGCATCGCTGAAGTCGTCCATTGCTCTGCAAGCGTGTCAATCGTCTGCCGCCAGAACGGAACTCAGTGCAGTGTCCGTGAAGGATGCCACTACAGCACTGTTCCGCTCCCTGAACAAGCTGAGGACTGCTGCCGACCTACCGAGTGACGTACAAGGTACAGCCGTGCACGGTGTGCATGAACACGCCCTTGCTACGGCATTGGAGCAACGCCAGGACACTATGCAGCGCACACTGCAGATCGTGGAGCGGCTGCAGGGCAAACTGGCCGAGGCGCAGGATGGCATCACGGAATTGAAAGAGCAGGTATGCACCCACCTTTCATTTTCTCATTTACCATTATATTGAAGCATAGGAACAAGCAACTCTGGTTAACAATCATTGACAGATGCATGACCCCTGTATATGATTCTTTTATGCGGCCAATATGCGACTTGTTCATATTATTATTATTAGGACATTTGTATAGTATGCAACAAGGAGGGCGAGATGAAGTGACATTAGATTGCTTTGGAAAATGAAAAATGGAAATTGACTGGAGTTTTCATTTGGGAATTGACAATGGTGACGAGACTGCTTATCTTCCACGCGTTGTGACTCGGCTTCAGCCTTTGTCACATTCCTAGAATAGCTGTTCTGGAGAGTTTTAATCTGCTTCTAGGTATCTTGAAGATGGGCCCTGCTCGAGAATTCAAAAATTAATGTTTTTATCTTTATCCAATTTTCAGTGATCGGGGTAGCCCAACGACCGCTTGGAGAGTGTCGTGAAGATGTATGGATATAATGGAAGGCTACAGTGGAGTCTGTGTATCTTGAAAAATGCTTCCACGCTTGAAATAACAATTGTTTGGGAAGTGCCTATGGTCATGCCAAAGCATAACACCGACTGGAATATCCTCAAATGCGTTTGCAAATGATTAACTTGCGAATGGTTGTGTTTATTTGAATTCGCAAACCGAACGGACTGAACATGTCCAAGGACAAGGAAGCGAATGAGGTCCAAGTAACCCAGGAATGGGAAAACTTGGAAAGGAGACACAGATGAAAAGAACATAATGGGAAAGGAAAGAATGAAATAGGAATGAAGTGCTATACAAACAGCAAAACATTTCGCCTAGACCAATAACAGCCAAGCTTGGCCACACCAAACACCACAATAATGCTATCCTTTTGTACGCACAAATTAGGTTTGTAAAGACGTTGATAAAATAGCCTCCATCACCTTTAACTGTAGTCCATAACCATTCTCATTATTCTCATTGTTCCTTTCTCTTGTTCTCACTGGGTGCATCACAGACTGTACCGCAACTCAGCCGCGACACTGTGGAGCTCTCTGGAGATGTGTGCCATGCAGAAGAGACCATCACAGCTGCTGCAGAGCCAACTGGTGATGACTCCGAACCACTCGAGGCAGTAAAGGAGATCGCGGCATCACAAGCGGAGGTTGAGCCTGAGATACACACGGATGATTCAACTATCGCAACTGCGGCCAAGGAGATAAGCGACGAATCCACTGCAACCGAGTAGAGCACAGTTTTGTCGGTCGGTGAACAGCTGAGGAGGTCAGCCTTCTAGCCTAGACCGTTCTTACATTTCATGTTCTAGTAACTATTTGTCTCGTTTGGCCCTGAGATATTTTGCTCCATAGTGATCTGACGCTCATCATTCGCTCAATTGTCGCTGGACAGTTCTGTCCGTTTGGGTTTGCGGATTCAAAGAAACCAACCACAGCAACATGATTGTGTTACATTCCATGCACAGTTGAGTCGTCATGTGTACATTGATATGCTGTACTTGGTGAAATTCTAGGCTGGTCGTTCTTCCGTGCTCCATTCTCACGCCAGTACAGTAGTTTTCATCATCACTCTAGACTGCTTACATACCCAATGTCACATGGTCTAATCTTCTGGCAACGGACCTGTACATGTATGTAGTGTGTGTACTGCGCAGACATTGTGCGTACTATGCGCTGCTTCAAATCTACTCCCCTTTTTTCTGATGATTGGTTGCTAAATTAAACCAAGAAATTCTGAATAGCCATAAATAGAATTAGCTCTGCATTCGTCACGAAGCACCAACGAAGTCGAAAGGTTTCCATAAACCGATTTTCATGTCACTATCATCGGTGGAATATCGTGACTGAATTGAAGGCAGGCTCAGCAAACAATAATGAAGTACGCGTTCCGTAATATGTCACCAGGAGGAAATAAATTGATAAAATAGAAGGCAAGCCGGGCGAGAGAAACTCAATGTGAGAATAGTGAAGTGAGAGAAACAAAATGAATAAGTAAAAACAAACCGTGAAATTAAGAATACAGTCTCAGCGTAACCACATGCTTCTTTTGTTTAACAACAAGAGGACGGAAAAAGTGTTTTAACTCTGAGTTTCACGCACTGAGCGCTTCTTTTGCGCTTCTTTGCTTCTTTTGTTTACAGTTTACAGGCTTACATAGACGAACACAGGAAGCTTCGAGAACTTTCAACTGCCTAGCAAAACGTACCCGCCTTTCTTCTAAAGTAGTACTAGTGTACTATTTCGAGTGCTGACAGTTTGGTATTTAAAAACATTAATTTTAGGTTTTCGGCTATGCACTCGAGTTATAGACTCTCTGTGTTTTACGGAACAGAACAACAAAGACAATCAAGGCTTGTTTGCTGCGACTTCAAGTTTCATGCTCTCGCAATCATCAGGCAACAGTTCTGTATTTTATTACGCTCTGCCTCCGCGGTGTTGAGCACTGTCAGCACACTGGGTACATCCTCCGGTGGACTCTCTGTGTTTTAGATATTTACACTGAATCGTTTCATTGGATACTAGTCATGTGCAGGTCCTGCCTCGTTATAACGAGTCCGGTTAGTACATACACCCCCTTAGAACGCATTTTTGGTGCTGCTCCTACAGGTACATCCTGTGCTAATGTGTGTCATGTGCTGTAAAGCTAAAAGTTGCGCGATCAAGGTTCGTACCGATACTTTGCAAAGTCCCGAATGGAGCTGATGTTTTGCCGCTTCATTTTTCTCGCCGTCCTGAAATAGTATGCCTGATCATCTGCGCCCTTCTCTCCGGTGTATGCGTAGTGAATGGTGGTCTTGGTTATGCTGTCTGATGATTGGTTCAAAGGAACGGCAAAGAAGGAGTTGGTGCACCATTGCTGGCTGAGAAATGTAAACCTTGTTAGTGAAAAGAACACTAGAATCTTCTTGCGAAACGTGGCATGTACAATTGTATACTGGTTAGGTTACAACACAATTTGTCCGTACATAAAATCGTTGCACTGTATATCGATCCTTTGGCCAATACCCTCAGTGTAAGATGATATTTTCCACGGCGGACCAAGGGAAAAACACACATGATAAAGCAGAAAGTCGTAACGGATTCTATCTGTAGAATTGTGTGCATGTATCTGTGGAATATAATAATTTATGTTTCATTAGAGTAACTCCCAAAAGGATAAAGGATCGTGTGAGCTTTTAGTGTTCATCTGTCGTTGTTGTAAATTAGAAGCTGGGACAAATTTGGCCATTTCAGAAATAATTTGAATCACTCCACCACTATCTAAACAAGAACGGATTTCCTCGCCATGGTATTGAAAGTGCTGGCCAAGGCTGCAGTGTGAAATAGTGGAGGAGTGTTTCAAATCATTTTGTTGTGGCACGCTACAATAATGGAGGCTGGAAGACGAAGCAATGGTATTGTACGTACCGTCCAATCGATTGCGATATGCCTATGGTAAGAGATTCAGCTGATATAGGGAGGCAGCGTTGAATTGTTGGGAAAATGTGCAATGCCTGTACTCATTTGCCTAATGTCTGCAAGTGTCCCGTGGTCTCGTATGCCAACAAGAAGAACGGATAGCTGCAATAATAATAGTACTGCATTACCCAATGCTGTAGACAGCAAGCTGGTTCGGCCATATAAGGCTCATCAGCACAGCTATGATCTTTAATTAAGTAGGCCGAGCTCTGCAGTACTAGTATACTGTCGTCAATCTGGTTCGCCTAGTACACATCACGGCTTCATGCATCACGTGATACATGCAGTTCCACAAACAGGCCAACAAGTCCATAACAGATTATTCATCGTTTTGAATAGTGTTTGTGCTACAAGGGGGGCGGGGGCGGGGGGGGGGGGGCTAGCAGTCAATACAGATAGCGTGGTAGGCAGGGCAATATATGTATCGTGCATGTAATTATTAATCATGTACGGTGTATAAAACTTAGGCTATGCAGACATGATGCCTCTAACACCCAATAGCGTGAGTAAACTAGTGGGACCATTGTTTATTAGGCTAGGGCCTGTTTTGGACTTCCCGCTTTAAATAAAGAATACAAACAAACAAACACACGACGCTCTACGGCGCAGGACATGATCATAGGTAAGATGTTGAGAAGACAATGAAATTATTGATCCATCTGAACGTCGTGTGCGTGTAGGCAGGTTAAAATGATGATGTGAACTACACTAGCTGTGTGACTGCGTGAGAGATACATAATGAGAGCAGTATGCTTGTGCTAAAAGAGTCAGCCGGCGAAGTGTCACCAGGGTGTCCAACGTAGCAGGGGGAGGGGGGGGGGGAGGAGGAGGCGGGGTGCGATTGGAGAGGTGTGTCGCACGTCAATACAGGCGATCCTTTCTCAATGCTTAGAGCAAAATGAATCTTGCTTGATCGGTTCTATGTACTTCCCAAGGGTCACTAGCAGCAAGGAATACATGCAGCCATTGCAGGGTGGCAATTCTACATCTGCATGTGCTGGCTAAATAAAATGCTAAACTTCTTCTCCATGAGAAAAGGCTAGTAGAGGAGAATGTGTGACAACATCAACGCTGGTCTGGACTATCTTGAGCAAGGCTGATGTTAGGCTCAGAGTTGGTGTCGGGGAGTGACTCTGACGAGCGGCGACGTCTACAGGTGATCTTGCTGTAACCAAGATAGATATTATGGCTGTCAGTTGACTTGTCCCAGACTGTGCGGCCCACGTGACGGTAGCCTAGTTTAGACGGAGGAGGGACTTTGGTAAATTTATCTCCTGGGTGGGCCACACGGATACTGCGAGGGACCTTTTTGGAGAAGTACTGCGCGAAACAGCCGTTTCCCACACGCGGCGTACCGAAGTTGATCATGATAGGATTTGTGTAGATTCCCCTGACTCGTATGTCGATCGTGGCCATTACGGCAAGAGCGCCTCCAAGGGAATGCCCCGTCACGTACAGCTCGGCGTCAGGATGAGCAGCTTTCAGCGTCTCAATGTTAGTCAAGACATCAGTTTGCAGTCTTTTGAACGCTCTGTAGAATCCATAGTGGACGTATCCTGGTATTTTCTTCTTTCCTCCCAGGTCTTTGGGCCGTACACGGAAGGCAGCTAGGTTCACGATCCAATTAAGAACTTGGCTCACACGATCTGTTTTGTCTCTTGATCCACGGAAGACGAGGACATTGGCGTTCAAGGCTGGATCATACCCCGCGTAGTAGGACAGCCTGAACAGCTCGTCTTCCTTCACCGTCAACGGCTCGAATCCAGTCAGATCCTGCCGGCATAATGAGCAGGTCCAGGTACGGACCAGGTCGTGTTCTTTGACGTACGCTGTGGCACTGTACGCCATCATCTTTCTCGCCAGAGTACCATCATACTCGTAGTCGCTCTTCTTGTTTTTGCCGCACTTCTTGAACCTGTCGAACAAACCCGCTTCGGCTAGGTGAATGGGCTCTAACAACTCCACCACTACCACAAACGTCAGCAGCAGACGGAGGAACTGTGTTGACTCAGCCATCTTGCTTCTAGTGGAGAAGTGAGATCTGATTGCCCGTCCATTCCTCAACACGGTTTATATAGCATCGCTAATGAACGGACTAGCGCCAGCGGTAGCCAATACTGCTGCAAGGTCTCAGCTCCGTTTTCCAGATGACCACTCAGGCGCTAGCAGCGAGTTTCTTTGGCCGAGTGGCAACAGCAGAATTGGCTACAAAATGCTTAGCTACGGCCGATAGTGAAGACGGGTACGAGTGTGGATAGCGGATTGTGTACACTTGCAGTGTGAACACACTTGCATGGGCCCAAGAAGTCTTCTCCACAAGCTTACTGTGCAAAACGTAAACAACAACCGCGTGGTCTGTGTAGTGTTCATAGGACTTATGCCCATATGCTGCATCAAGAGATAAAACACAATAGCGACAAAGAAAATGCTGTGTTGCGACTCCGAGTCTCACGCCCAACAGGCCTTATGATCAGCATTCAGTTTGCCTGATATCATAGATGACGAGCGCGATTTATTGTGAAAGTCGGAGTCGCGACACAGGGCATCCTTTTTCTCTATGTTGTGGAATGATCTGCGCTATACGGGCATTGCGCACTATACGGGCAGTGCATGAACTTACAGTCATGTACATGTGCTTGATCCCAGCACAACACATACATTGTACGCGTAAGTGATTCCTACTGCACGTATTCGTTCTACTCACTTCAATTGTGTGAACGAACCGGACATCAAAGTGCTCACACCTGTCCATTCCTTCCAAGCTTTGAAAACGATCGCCACAATCTCCTAGAATTTGTCCAAAGTTGTTTTTGTATAAAAAATTTTCCGAAGTACTCGCAGACTCCATTGCAGCAATTTACACATAAGGGTACCTAAACTCAATCACTCAAACACGGTCTATTTGCTGCATACGTCATTTTTTATATTGTGAAAACAATGGACGAAATCATGTTGTGTTGTGATGAAATAAAAACAGGATTACCTTTACAAAGAAGCGGTACAAAGAAATTGAAACCTACCCGAGGAAATGCGAACTGGGGAAGTGATACGCGTGGCAGGCGTCATGCGAACCGACGCCAGAAGTCAGCTAGAACACTCTTTAAAACTGACGGGCAAAATTAATGGATTTCCTTTCTTCCAGCGCTAGCATTTATGGAGAGGGATAGTAGGGCCATGTCTCGTTTAATGCCTGCAAAAATGATAACATCTCTCGGTGAGTTTCTCGATACTACCGATCGCGTTTGAAGGTTTCTTGTGATGAACCAGTACCCACGCCGTTGAAGGCCACGATTTTAATCAGCATCTTTCGGCCAGTGCATCAATAACACACCTCAAACTACTCAACTGGTGTTTTCAATGCAAGCTAGGTCAGCTGGAAAGCCCATGTTATGTGGGATTTTGTACTGCTGAAAGTTAACTAACGGTATAATTTGAAGAGCAAAATAGACAACCCTGCCTATGAGATTGATCACGGGATTGTGACTGACAGCCCCAAACATTATTTCGCTTAGAAGTGTCCATGCAGGAAGCCTCCAGCCTGATCCTGATTCTGAGATACGTGGATTGTCGAAAGGATCAGGGAAAGTCTTGGAAACGAGGCTCCCAGATTGCATGTGGGTCTGAAGTTTGGACACACATACATGTACATGATTGTTTACATTGTCTCCCCTAGCGAGCTGTTTCTGATTATTAGTAATGCTGGCATGAGGGAAGCATGGATGCAGTGAAGGGGATTTTCGGTTTTTGACCACTTTGGTGTGTCTGATCTCCTCACCTCCCTCCGCTTTAGGAGCTGCATTTGTGCCTTGATCCTTGAAGGGTGGTGGCGTTCCTACGAATGCGGAAAACTCGCCCTCTAGCTGAGTCGGACACGAACCGTGATTTTTCTAATCATACTTTGAACCTTCCGTATCGGAGTCTTCCAATCTTAGAATAGAAGAGTACAAACAAAATAATGTTCAACTGGGAATACACAGCTTTAGTAACGATGAAAGCGTCGCAAGGGGCGCCATGATTATCGCCATGGTGATTACGCAGTTACATTATACAGTATCATCTCTCTCGCGCGGAACGGAAGAATCATGGCTTGTATTTACCGCCATTATTCCCCTTAGAATGTTCGATTTCTAGTTATATATTTATTACTTAAAGGATTTCCCAAAGGCAAAGCCTATCGGGGAGGGGGATCTCCTAAGAATGTTCCACTTGAGTCTTCACATCATTCTACGGCGAATTCATCACCATCATCCTCAGAAGACGTTTGGTTTTTGTAGTGTGGATTTAGTGTATGTTTAGTCGACTGTGACCGTACAGATCTCATCATTAAATGGCAAGGACCTGACAACGTCTTGGCCGATACAGTTTCTGGTAATGTTGTGCACGGAGAGGTATGTTAAAAGCACGGACGCACGGTTATCGGCACTGATTTGGTGCTTGTGCACAAAGCTAAGCCACTGCAAGTGTCAGTACGGACAATGTCTCACTAGTAGGAAAACCCGTTTCCCATGTGCACTCTCCACTGACTCCAGAGCCTTGTATGAATTGCAGTACTGAACCTTATTGCTCATTGTACAATGTCATGTACACTGTACATGTACAATGTCATGTACATGTACATGACATTGTACATGTACATGACATTGTACATGTACATGACATTGTACATGTACATGACATTGTACATGTATAATAATAATTATTATCCTAGATCCTCACCAGTGACATGGGATATGCACCTTGTTTTATTATCACATCCACATTTTGGAACTTACTTGACTCCAGGTCACACAGGCATGCACATGTACATGTACATGTACACGTAATTAGCCACAAAAATAAGTGCTAAACTGTTACTTGAAATTTTGAAAATTCAACCTTCCTGTAGATGTGCTGCCGCGATTATAATGTCAGCACAAGAGCTGGGTACAAGGTTCAGTAAGGCACCCCGTGCCGGAGCGCTCAGATCTACATGTATGCGCAAACCAGTGAAACGTTGACACCAGGCCAGCACCTCCTGGCCCACACATGGCTGTGTGATACAGGCAGGTCCTTCAGTTCTCAAGTGGAGTAGCTCATAACAATCCCCCAGTTGCAGAAATAATTATTATTTTCGCTGCTGATGGGAGCGTTTCGGACTGGCCACATACAATGTACCATGTACATGTACCATGTCCCATGGACCATGTCCCATGGGCGAACTGTTGGCTAACTTAAAAGTCAATGTGGATACTATCCAAAACATGTCCAGCGTATTAAGAACTTATTAAGAAATTAAGAAGATCAACTTCTATAACTTTAAAGGGGAAGTTCACCCTAAAATCAAAATTTCACAGTTTGTAGATTTCGAGGCGCTGAGTTCGGTGGTGAAGTTCCCATCGCCGTGCGATACGCAGTTCTGGAGATATTTGAATTTGAAATTTACCATGACGTCATGCAAAATGACGTCATGCGGCCGGCGCACACCCCCTCCACACCCTGTGACGTCAAAGAGATACAGGTTCCCGGTCTGATCTGCTTGCTTTTCAGTGAGCGAGAAAGAGTGGCGTTTGTGGAGTTTCTTTCTTGCGACCTGAACAGTTTCAACCACGATGACGGTTTGCTGTGCTGTCGGCTGCTCTAACCAGTCTGGCAAGCCCCCTGGGACCACGGTGCATCGTATTCCGCGGGATAAAGCTCTCCGAGCGGAATGGGTTGCAGCGATTCACCTCGAGAATTTGGCAAATTGCTACCTAAGTTTGAGGAGAGCTGTGCAATTTGTTCGGCACATTTTGAGGAGATGCCTTCCAGAGGAACTTGCACGGAGAGATGGGCAAAACGTGCCGCCGAAAGCTGAAAGCAGACGCTGTGCCATCGATTTTCCCGGACAGGCGTCCCCCAGCGAAGCGAAGGATGTCGCAGTATCAGGAGATGCAGGAGAGAGAAGAGGTGAGTGAATGGTTCTGGTGATTTCGTGCTTTGAGAGCGTGTTGAAATTTTGTCTGTACATCGCGAGTTGGAGAGGGCAGTTTCACCCACTGTGTTGAGTACATCGTATACTTGTAGAGAAAATTATTTACAGATACCGGTACAAAGCTGTTTGCAGTGTGTTGATTGCAAGGTACTAGTATTGAATGAAGACAGAAGATCGTGCAATATATTTTTGTTTTATTTCAATTCAAGTTTTACATGTCGTGAAAAGGCATACAGTGGTCACTAGCTCTGTCCTCTGCTTGGTAAGTTTCAATTCCAAGAAAGTCTTTATTGTGTTGCATTGTCACTGTTATCTGCGTGTATTTTGCGAGTATGATCCTAGCTCAAGCCTATTCTGAGCCGTATGCCGCAGCTTTTCGGTCTCCAGTTGCATGCGCATTGAGTCCAGACGATGGCATGATATCTGCTGATGCGTGCACACAGACCCCCGTCAGCACACGGGAAATTTAGAGGTGATGTTATGGTACCCACTGTGTAGATCAAATCCACACGTACATATGCTTGCAACACTGGCAGTACATTTTCATGACTATTCTTTTGCTATAAACACACACACACACACACACACACACACACACACACACACACACACACACACACACACACACACACACACACACACACACACACACACACACACACACACACACACACACACACACACACACACACACACACACACACACACACACACACACACACACACCTTTGACCTTTGACGCCAATCGCCGGAGGCAATGATGGCCATGCTACGGCAGAAGCCATAGCAACTTGTGCTGGAATTGCACCATTCAACAGCTTGCAAGGCTGAAGAATTGACCGTCACAATTCAGCCTGGTCTACACCATACAGCTACACACACACACACACACGTGCAAGCACCTGGCTGACTACAAATAGTGACAGCTTATGATTGCTTTGCCGTTTGTCCATTATGCAGGTGTTCCACAGGACTCCTTGGCCAAGTTTTCCGAACATCAGCCATATGTATTGTCGGTATGCTGCGTAACGGTGCGAGCTGCTTTGGGGAACAGGGGAGTAGATCT